TGGACTCTCTCTACCCTCGACCGTACCAGGGCATTCGGCGGCCTGTATGTCAGGTTCTTCTTAGTGCAGACCGAATCCTATCGACCACGTTTCATTGTAGCCACTAGGTTAGGTGACTCGACATTGGAGGTAGTCTATAGAACCTGAAAAATATGACACTGATAAGCACCCAGTGATCAATCAGTTTCAAATACATCTCAGTCCTACAAGAGGTCAGTCGCGGCACGGACACCTCACTGTTAACATCTCTGACTGTGAAGCTGGGTTACATGGTATGGGGGTGATGTGGTCTGTTTAGGCTGGTATATAGACCAAGTATATTTGAAATAAATGATTCGCATAATGGAAGCTGTTATTGGCGTTCTGGACTCAATTGGACGGGCTAGGTGAACAAAGGATCAATAAGGATGATAGGCTACTCATACCAGTCGAACGTCATTGGTTATGGCACAGTAATAAGATTGTTTAAGTCATATTTCGATTTGCAAATGTATCATATGATAACTAGCCGGGCTTAAAGTCACAGCAGAAACAATTTTATTCGTGGATGAATAAACAGTTTACGTTTATAAATAACCTTAGTTAATGTAAATCGTTAGAAACAATAAATAATACTTCTCCAAATTCATCTTGACAACAAATTAATAGTTGAATTCAATTATTAAAATCACTACAATCCTCACAAACAATCATTCTGGTAATAATTATCATATGCTCATTAGTGACTGGATCCAAGATGATTTCCTGGAATTGTAATGAGAAGCTGTTACCAGTGGAGTCTAATCCGTGTCGAGTAGAGATAGGTATCTACCTCAAACAATGGATGAATGGTTGAGCAACCATTCACGGGGGCGATTGAAGTGAGATATTAATACCGTTGGATGCTGATCTAGAGGTGATCTAGAGGTTAAGCGTTCGCACGTGATACGGAAGGTCATGTGTTCGAGTCCCGCATGACGGATCGTGGGTGTTAACTGCTCAAAAGTCCCATATGAGGACGAAACGACCGTTCAATGCTTCCAGGTTTTCCACAAAACTCCTCTCTAATTAAAATGTTTTTTGGTACAATAATCAAAGGTCATTAAAGGGCATAGAGGTCTAAAAAGTAGATAACGTGATATAACGAGCAATTATGAATAAGATAATGAGAATATGAGACATAAGTAAAGGGAGATATGTAGTAATAATAGTACTAATAATTTAGGCCTAAGTATCGATAACGATAGGATGTACTTCTTTTATATGCATAGTTCTGGCTTGAGTTCATGGATGGCAAGAACTTCGACTGTTTTTAGGAGTTGAATACGAAGAAATCTAGGTAGATCTTGACGAATCGTATATACAACCATCAAATCAAACTGTGAATTAGTGGAAGGATTACAGTCAATTAGATGGTCAAGTATGGAACTCCTAACTGTTTTTCTCTCACCTTTGTAGAACCAAACTGGGACGTGTTCCTGTATCCGAGTTGAAAGCGAGCGCTGGCTATGGCAAATGTATCTTGCTCCAGAAGAGCAGATGAACTGGTAGATGCATACGGAGGCGACTAGACAGGGAGCTTATCTTTTATGGATATAGAAAACAAGTTTCTACTAGTGAACGTTGTTCTCAGTTTTGCCGCATTAAATGTTTTATTAATCGCTGTCGTTAAACGGTTTTTGATTACGTCAGATGTTCCAGCACCTTTGAATTCCTTTAGTTTTCTCAATTCATACTTTGAAGCTTTTACAGTTGAATTTAATAAGAACAAAACTAACGGAGATCTCAGTTCATAACTACTTGGAAACACAACTGTCAGGATACACGAGTGAACTAAACTTATTCAGTAGTAATCTGTGAATCTATATTTCTCAACACGTATTATTTAGACATTTTAAGTGATTCTTAAGTCATTATCTAACTTTTAACTAGATGACTTCAGTGTTTATTCGCTTTTATTAACCATTCACAAAACTAAATTCAAATAAAGACAATTCAGAACTTAGTTGTAAATTGACTTGGTACTGTTTACTTGAATCTTCTCATTGATGTTCAGGACTGAAATTGATCAATCTCTTATTGATATATGTGTATACTGTGTGTATTGCCTAGACATTGCCTTAAGTCGTAAGATTTATAGGTAAATATGGGTTCGAGTCTTGGCTGTTGAGTTCCAAACAGGATTAAAGTCGTGTCCTCGATTCCACTACTAGCCACTGTTCGTCTTTGAGCTTAGTTATGGTATAAATCAAGCCTTCAACAAAATCTTTTATCTATCACTTCTTCACTTAGAGTTTCACAGATAATAAGGATTAAGTGAATTATTGACTTATGATTACTTATCTTTGTAATTATTCTATTGCCTTTTAGATGGAGATTTGCTCAATGAGCAGTAGAGTTTGATCGTGAAGCTTTCATCGTTCTTCTCAACGACATCATCAGCACTTCTACCTGACGTTTTTATTAATGGTATTAATCGGGAGCACGATGAAAGCTTCATGGGCAAATTATACAACTCAGAGAACAAAACTCTATCAAATCATTCACCTGAGCTACAAATATTCCCCCAACATCTCATAATTCTATTACCTCACTAAAAAATTATTCTTATTATTCTAGCCTACTCATAAGTAGTATAAAATATCACTTAAAAGTTTACAGCGCAGATCTTTTATTCATCATCATAATAAATATTAAATGATATCTTAATATAATCAAACAAAATATCTTGTCAATTAACAGACTACATATGACATTTTATGAATTCTTCCTAAATTGTTCAATGATAATTACTAACTGTTCAATTATGTTTAGTGTTTATTATCATTAAAAGAAGATGTTCAGATTACTTTTATCATTTGACATGAATGTATAATGAATAATAGTCATTGAGAAGAAGAAGAAGAAGAAGAAGAAGAAGAAGAAGAAGAAGAAGAAGAAAACGAGGAAGAAGAAGACGAAGAAGAAGAGTTATCATGTCATATCTTTGAATAGAGTAGATTACATTAATGAATTAGTGTAGAATTAAAAGAACTATGCATAGAAATATCTATGTCAGTAATTAGTAAGACCAAGATGGATTCCATTGATAAACATTTCATTATGAACGAAACAATACAAACAATAATGATACTATTGTTCATTCCTATGAAATATCATTTAATTAGAATAAACACTTAAGATAAGTAAATGAATCTAAAAAAAAGGCAAATAAAAAACAATTACCATATCCTTATTTATTTATTTATTAAGTAAATGGAAATGAACTGCATTATGTCTATTCTACTGGAATAAACAATATACTACTCATTAACTTTAGGTATATAAATGTAGTTTTATGTATTAGATTTCAAATTATTTCGGAATAAAATGATGTATAAGTAAGTTCTATATGAAGTATTTCATATCTATTCTATTTTATTACATACTTACTTCTGTTACTCCTCGTGAAGGAGCATAGGCTGCTCATCACCACTCTCCATCTAACCCTGATCTGGGCAATCCTTTCCAGCTCTTTCCAGTTGTTATTCATCTTTTTCATGTCTACTTCTATTTTCCGATGTAATATGTTCTGTGGCATTCCTGTTTTTCACTTCCCTTCATGATTCTAAGTTAGGGCTTGCCTCGTGATACAGTTTGATGATTTCCTCAATGTATGTCCTATCCATTTCCATCGTCTTTTCCTAATTTCTTCTTCAGCTGGAAGTTGGTTTGTTCTCTCCCACAGAAGGCTGTTACTGATGCTATCCGGCCAATAGATGTTGAGTATCCTACGTAGACAACTATTTACAAATACTTGTACATTCTTGATAATAGTTGTGGTAGTTCTCCAAGTTTGAGCTCCGTACAGTAGAACTGCCTTGACGTTCGTTCTATTAATATAATAATTTTTAGTATTAACGATCATACATATAAACATTGATCAGCAAAATTCATTTCTCAGATTCATGATTTTAAATATGAGTTTGTTTTACGATCGTCCATTAAGATTTTACAGATTAGCTTTCAATTCATAATAATGTATAATCAAATTCCCAGTAATATTGATGGGTAACTGCTTTACAACTACTACCAGTGAATTCCTACTGACTATCTTCTCGTGGTATTACTGTTGTTTATGACATCGAGAGGATGAAAAGCGAATGTCCAGCGCTTTAACCAGCTTGATGAACACAAAATATCCACTTATACGAGTTAAAAGCCCTGATTCTAAACCAATGATGTACATGTGTTCCAGGATTCGGTGAGAATAAACGGTGTATGCATCAATTATTTTTCACCGACTACCATGAGACTGTATCTTCTGATGTTGCTCCATTACCTTGTGGATCAAACCTTGAGCTTCAAGGCTTCGGATGTGGAACCCTAAGAAAACCACCTATTTATGTGTTCAAATAAATAAATAATTGATTAATATCGGATGGGTATTGTGGAGATTGTAGTAATTTCAATGGTTAAGATCATGAATCAATTGAAGCTAGACGATCATGGAAAACCTGTAAGCACTGGACAGCCGTTTCGTCCTATTGTGTGACTCCTTAGCACTGCGCAGCCACAACCTCGCCCCCTGCGAGACTCGAACCCAGGATCTACTGGTTTCGAGCGTGAGCACTTAACCACTAATTAATTAAAACAAAATAAACCATAATGCATCTTAGTTATTTAGATGGTGGTTGGAGGTAGTCAACAGGAAACCCTGGACCCGGGTTTCGTGCTTCTTGGCACTCGTCAGCAAGGCGTACCTGTAATCTTGAGGGAACTGGTGCTCCCTGGTGGATTCGACCTCGCGTCACCCAGCCTCACAGTCGGAGACGTTACCACTGAGCTATCCGAGCCGTGACTAACCTCTTATAGAACTGAGATGTAATCACAATTGATTGATCACTGGGTGGTGATCAATGTCATGCTTGTCTAGTCCTTATTAGTGCAGATCGAATGCATCATAGTTATTTATGTCCTAATTCGAATTTCCCCTCATTTCCTCCCCCCTCCTCTCCCTCTCCCCTCCACCACCCATATAGTTCATATCATTCCAATCACAATAATAATTCAATACCTGATATCAATGTAATTAAAGCAAAACATTTGGAACATCAATCAATATCTCATTTAAATATAATCAATAAAAAACATTTGCATCGTAATAGTATCCAAGGCATGAATTCAAATGAACAAAACATTATTCATCACCTAGATACTACTACTAATACTACTACAATATTACCATTATGTAATTCACGTAAATCATCTAAATTATATTCATTTAATGAAAATATAAATAATTATGAATTAAGTCTTAATGAAGCACAATTATTAACAGAAGAAACATCGAAAAAATTAAATCAAATCAAATATAAAATGAATTCATCACAGAAAATTTATTGTTGTTACCATGGTAACAATTATCATCGAAAATGTAGAAATAATAAAATAAATCCAGAAGAAAATTTAATTCATTTAACAAATCGTGGTGAAATATTAGAGAATCCAAATCTTATATTTAATGTAAGTTGATTATTATTAATAATTTTCTGTTTGATTGAAATCATGAGTCAATTGAAGCTAGACCATTATGGGAAACTTGGAGGTACTGGACAACTGTCCCGTTCTAGTACGGGACCCCACAGCAGCGCGCATCCACGATCCTGCACCCTGCGGGATTCGAACCCAGGATCTCCGGTCGCGCGTGCGAGCGCCTAACCCTTAGGCCATTGAGCCGGCCGTTATTAGATGGTGCAAATATCTAACCTCAACCAATCCACGAAATTGCGCGACCATCTTCTACTGTACTGAGGTAGACACGTGTTTCTACCTAACACGGATTAGTTCCACTGGTCACAGCTTCTCACCAGAACTCCGAGAATTTTCTCACTAAGCTGGTCACTAGTGCGCACATGGTAATTATCAGTTTAGGGGTTGTGGAGATTGTTCAGTTTTTGATTGAAATCATGAGTCAATTGAAGTGAGACCACCATGGGAAACTTGGAAGTACTGGACGACCGTTTTGTACTATTGTGGGACTCCTTAGCAGTGAGCACCTACGATCCCGCACCCCCCGAGTCTCGAGCCCAGGACCTATCAGTCTCGCACCGGGTGCTTAACCAACTAGATTACTGAGCTGCCATCCAATGTTGTTAATGTGTAACCTCAACCAATCCATTATTTATATATGTAATTAGTGATAATGAATTCGAGGAAGCTCTAAGAAGATTAGAAAGAGCTAAAAATATTCTATTCAATCTATGTATAGCGAATTTTTGAGCATTTGTCTAACAAGAAAACTATATATAGAAATTTTAGAATATTCTTTTAAAAGACTATTGGATAGTGTTTTTTAGGCTCTTTTTAAGCTTCCTAGAGCTTCTTTGAATTCACTTGTGGATCACAATTGACTGATCAATGGGTGGTGACCAATTTCATGTGTGTCAAGTCCTTATTAATGCAGATCGAATGCTACCGACCATGATGCAATGTGGCCACCAGTCTAGGTGACTCGACACTGCGGGCACTATGTATTGAGATTTAGATGGTGGTTGGACGTAGTCGATAGGATAGCTCAGTGGTAACGTCTCTGATTGTGAAGCTGGGTTACACGGGATCGAATCCGTCAAGGGGCAACAACTCCCTCAAGATTACAGGTACACCTTGCTGACGAGTGCCAAGTAGCACGAAAGCCGGGTCCAGGGTTTCCTGTCGACTACCTCCAACCACCATCTAATGATAATACCTTTATAGTAATGATATGAATAATACAAATTCAGATTGCTACTTTGTAAGGAGCTAATTAATAAGCGTAGCTAAACTATGCACATTCATATTCCTCATATTATTAGCTTTGTTTTGACCTATGAACTATTATTATTATTATACGATCGGCCGTTTCTGAGTTATGCCCAACTCATTCACATCCACTTTTGGCTATATCTTGTACAAATGTTGTTTTCCATTTTATAGTACGATATATCATTCATCTTGTGGAGGTTGAGATCGGTACTCTGAGCTCAATGAGCAGGCAGAGTTAGGCAAGAAGAAGGACCGATAAGGAGTTTAGACTGCTCGTACATGTTTACACGTTATTGGTTTGGTAGTTAAATCACTGTTCTCTAATTGATGGTATTATTACGTTATATATATATGAATAGGGTACAAGTTATAATAATAACATCATCGATATGTAATGTAGTCTAGATTTGGCATTAGAAATGGACAGAATAAGTATAAGTCATCAAATAATATACATACCTAATATAATTTTGATAGAGTTTTGTTCTCTGAGCTGGATGGTTTGATCGTGGAGCTTTCATCCTTCTTCTGAACGACACCATCTCAAAATCATATGAGTGTAATACGCTTCTCGTTGTTCGAAAATGGCAAAACACAGGCTTCAACTCGAGAACAACTATATTTTCTCCATGAGTGTCTTCGCCAGCATGTTCAACTAGCTATTAGAATAGAAAATACCTGAGCAAACTGGAAGAAAAATGGTACACCTAATGATAACGGATACATACTACAGGATCTGCAAATACCAACACGCCATAGAGGACCAAAAGATGAAGCTACAAAGAACACTGACATCAGAACATTTGGAAATCATCCACCTGAGCTATAAATCTTCTTCACCATACCTAATATAATCCTATTCTAAATGGTTTTATGCATAGTCATATGGGATATGTACAATTAAAGATGTTTGAAAGGTTACTTATGATACTGGAAATTCTCTTATACAAATTAAAAGTGAATATTATCAGTTTACATTGAATTAATCTTTCGATCTTAGTTTGAGATTAAGGCGAGACTCTCATTTATGAATGAACTAATCAGATTGAGGATATGAAGTCTTGGATTTTGGCGCGAAATTCACTCATTATAGCCGATGTCAGTTCATGATGAAAACCCTCAATCGAATTTCTAATCTTAACCATCAATTGTAAATCATAATTCTAATTCCTCACACACAGGTTTATAATCCACATTTGGTCCTAGTTATTAAGTGGACACTCTCAAGGTCAGTCTAGTGTTGCTCAAATGTCGTCCATGAATTATAGTCTCACCCCGGAACGACCTCTACCTTAAGATAGCAGGTTCGATTTCAATTACCTCATAGTCAATAATTCAATAAAAAGGTATTTAATCCTCAGTTACAAGTACCTAAACTAGATCATCATTGATTTGTCTACTATGTAGACTACACTAAAGATATTGTATTTGCAGCTCTAGTAGTTTACCTGGAAAAACTCTGTTGAATACAATTTACATTGGGACGATTTATGTTGTTTTTTTTACGTTTAGTTGACAAGAAGACTCCCTTCAATGGAACATTCAGTTATACAGATGATTTTCTCAAAATACTTCATTGTCATATCTCTTCATATTCAATTGATTGATTTGACAAATATTTCTGGGTAGAAACATTCAGTACAAGAAATTTCTAGAACAATCTATAAACATTAATTTGAATAATTATGTCATTCAATTACCTTGTGTTTATCCTTTCAATGAAATAGTTCTGGTTAGGTTATTTTCATATGTAGAGGACAGCACTAAACACTCATTATGGTCTACTGAAGGGTATTACACTAAAATGAAACGATTGTTCATCTCCCGATGACTTTAAATGCTGTCGGAGACCAGTTCGGCAACAAATACCCTTGTAGTGAATGAGAAAACAAATGGGGACAATCGAATGCATTTGAACATACAATTAGTAAAATCTGAGAATCATTTAGTAAATATTTCCTCCTGAAAAATGTCAATCAGTCGTCTTGGACTTCATTGTTCTTTTGTTTCTACACCAATCATTCTTTGTTCTTGTTCTCTTTTCTTTGATCTTCTTAACATTCTGCCTTTAAGCATTTCATTTTCGACTGATGATAGATACTACTTATATTTGTCGATATCAGTAGCATATACCACACCCTATATAGAAATGTATTTATATATGTATGAATTGAATTATATTTTAATTATAATTCCTATTTTATTTTTTTCTTTTTTAATGAAGTATGTTAAAGCAAATGAAACAGAAAGACTCGTTGAAATCTTAGCTTACAATCCATTAATAATATACCAATGTGACTCAAATCAACGTACTTTACTTCATTATGCTGCAATGAAAGGTTATTTGGATTGTGCAAGTGTTTTAGTTGCACATAAAGCAAGTAAGTGTAATAATTATGTAATACATTTCTTTACACAAGTACTATGTGGACAACGGTGAGACTATCATTTATGGAGGACCATTGAGTGATGACTCCATAGTACCCTTAAGAATGTCCACCAACTGACTAGGGATATGTGAGGGTTTTAAGTCAATATGAATGATAAGGATTGTGATTTACAGTTAATGGTTAAGGTTAGAAATTAGATTTCGGGTTTTCATCACTAACTGACATCAGTTATAATGATAAGGAGCTACTTAGACAAATGGATGAATTGATTTCGCGCCGAAATCCAAGAGCTGTTTTCTTAAATCTGATTGATTCGTCCATAAATTATAGTCTCGCCTGGGCAACTTACAGATAACAAAAAAAACTGTTGTCTGTTAATGATCGCCAAACAATCACTGTCGTTAATCGGTCACTATCAAAGTACACTCTTTAATTAAGACTTAAAGTAATCGGACTATAAGTAATATAATTCAACTGGTAATAGATATTCGAAAGTCGAATTTCGGTGAGAATAGCTTTATGGTTGTGCTGATAATAATAATAGGAACATACTGTCATACAATTTACGAGAATCTTTTGTAATCACTTTAAAGTTGACCCCAATGAAGCTGAAGGTCTCATATGAGATAGGAGGTTCGCCATTGATATTGTGGATGACTCAGTATTGCTTTGGCAAGTTTTGCCGATTGTTCATGCACAAAATTGGTTTGCTGATTAATCGATTTCATTCATACTGGTGGTTGCTTTTCAGTGTTTTCATTGTCATTGGGATATTTTAAGGCATGTCACCATTGCTAACATTAATGAGTTTGACTATCGTGTAATCGGAATTGGTCAGTTTTGGCCTATTCATGCTGTGCATAAGGGATTTACGCTATCAATGATCGGAATAATTACACGTGTGGTGTAAATGTTTATATGGATGGTGCGAATAGTGAACCAGGGTGTTTGTTACCTATGTGGTTCCACCACAGGATTGAGCTTTACTATTCAGATTGTAGCGTTAAAGCCTATATGGTGTCTGGTTCTCCTGTGAATCAGGATTGAGCTGTACTATTTGGGTTGTCACGTGAAAGTCTGGATGATGTCCGGTTCTCCTGAAAACCAATGAAAAACTGCCTTAACCCACAAGGGTATATTACATATATAACCTATGAAGACATAGACGGATCTAAATAAAAGTTTAATTAGTGGAATGTCAAAACGTTTTGTTCAAAGATTTCAATACCTTTTAAACTCTTATTCGTTTCTTCATGTTAGATAGAGAGTTAAAGAGATCAGCATTCATTTCGATCATGAGATTTCTATCTTCTTGATGTTAACGATAATGTTCCTGTTTAGAATTGACCTTTTATTATTAACTGACATATTCAAATCATATTCATATTTAGGTGGTGTATATACGCAGTGCTGATATCATTGTACTTGTAAACGATGTCAACAACTATGGTTTTAGTAGTCAGAGCATTGTCTATTATCCAGTGTATTACGAGTTAATAAGTCGTGTAGGTTGAACGCTATATACGAATCCTAAGCTATTCCCGTAACCCGCAGACTAGAACTACACAGCGACTTGAACTCCAGAAAGAAGAGAGAAGTATGAGAGAATACACTTTATCCCAAGGTTCATTTTAGTACAGAAAATCAAGGGTATTTATAGATGTTGACGTCTGTTAAATCAACATCTTATTTCAGCCAATCCGTTAACGTCATATTGTGCTACCGACCAATGGTAGCACGCCACGCTGGAATTCTCAAACGTTCCATCATACTCTGATTGGCTAGGCCCTTCGGCCCCTTTTTGGGCCTCTCGAGGCTCCGTTGAAGTTCTCCGAAAGCCGACCCAACACGAGTTTTATGATTTCTTCTAAAGGCAGTTCAAATAATTGATATTACTTCATTTTTGTGTTGGTTGTTTGAATCTTCGTATTGAAGTTTAGAACTGTAATTGAATTGATCAGTCTCTTATTGGTATATGTGAATCTTGTTCGGAATGCCTCAATATTACAAACAATCAATACAAAAAATGAATTAGACTTTAACCCATTGTTCAAGTAAATGGCTATCAGGGACTCAGTAGCTGAGTGGATAACGCGATGGCGTTTGAAGAGAACGGTATTGGGTTAGAGTTCCAGAGTGAACATCAACTCTGAGGTTTTGGTACATCTGACTAACGAGTCCTAAATAGGACGAAACGCGCGTCATGAATTCCATTAATAGCCACTATACATCTTTGGTTATAATGCTTGTTACTGAAGACAATATTGAGGCAATACGCACAGGATGTACATATGTCTACAAGAGACTGATCAATTGTAGTCCCTAAAAACAATGGAAGACGCAATCAAATAATACCAAGTGAATTATTTATTTCAATAATTGAGATCATGAGTTAATCAAAGCTAGACGACCATTGAAAATCTGGAAGCACTGGTTGGCTGTTTCGTTCTGTTGTGGGACTCCTCAGAAATGTGCATCCATGATCCCACTTCGTGATATCCAAACCCAGGAACTACCGGTCTCACTGAACAACGCTTAATCTCTAGACCACTGATCTGACCGATATCCAATGGTATTAATGTCTAACTTCAACTAATCTTCTAAATTGAGTGACATATCGACGATTGTCTTCAGTAAGTTACTATCTCACAACAGATCCAGATGACCTACTTATCACAGTCATTTTATCCTTTTGTCAATAATGACTCTGTGTATTGTTTTTTTTTAATTCATTTATTTAAATAGGGATTAATGAACCAGATCAATATGGTAATCTTCCAATACATTTAGCTGTTAAAGAAGGACATTTACTTGTAGTACGTTATCTATTAAGTATTAATGCTGATCCAACTAAACCAAATAAAGATGGTCTATTACCAATACATATAGCATGTGAAAAAAATTATTTCGGTATATTAAAGGTAAATTGTTCAGAATGTATGTGAACGTAAGTGTGTGTGTGTGTTCGGGGGGGAGGGAGTGCTGTTGATAATTGACGTTACATCTTTACTTAGTTACCATCATTTGGAATGTTCTAGCTGAATTAACTTTCTTCCATGGAATATGTAATTCATATGTTTCATTAGAATTTCACATGTAGATTCACTCTAGAATCATCATGTTCACTTGAACTATTTCGTCAATGTTTGTGTTTGAATGATAGTGGTCTTGACATAATGAACTTAGTGTTTTCTGTATTGAACAGTTTAATTGTGGATTATTCATTGTCTATCTGGACAACATCATCTGCAATTACTTCATTGAACATGTAAAGTTCTTAGAGTGTTATACAAGTGTTGAATTATCTTGTTTTGATGAACTTGTTTGTGATGGGTTAACCAAAAAAAAATCCAAAATGATCCAGAAATGAAAATGAAGCTTAATGAATAATCAAAACAAACAACTAATTTGGTCATGAACTTTATATACAATCAGAATACAAAGGTGGAAATGTGTCGATTTCTGGTCTACTTCATTATTAGTACTGTTGTACTAATAGACCTAATCCTAACATTGTAGATTTATCATGTTGTAACTGGTTAATCTATAAGATCTCACATGGAAGTCACATCATTGTCTACACTAACTCATCGTATCGGAACACATTCAGGCTAGAGATAATACAATATAATTAATATAAGTAAAAGCAAGTTATACAGAATGACCACGCCTGTAAAGGTGAGTCATTAAGTCTTCCCGCTTTCATCATTGATGAGTTTTTCTCCGCGCTAAATGTTGAATATCTATTATTTTCAGTCGCCTCGTGTTTAGCTTTGAGGAATATGTGGTTAAGGTCCAATAGCACTACAAATGTTCCTGGAATAACTACTAAACCGATCAATAAATCGAAAGGGCGGTCGTGTAGTATCCCAAGGTTCATTCTTGTACAGAAAATCAAGGGTATTTATAGATGTTGGCGTCTGTTAAATCAACATCATATTCCAGCCAATCCGTTAACGACATATTATGCTACCGACCAATAGTAGCACGCCACGTTGGAATTCTAGAACGTTCCACTATACTCTCATTGGTTAGGACCCTTCGGCTCCTTTTGGGCCTCTGGAGGCTCCGTTGAAGTTCTCCAGAAGCCGACTCAACACCTCCCCCGAATAAGTTTTATTTCTGGGATCTAATTGTAGGCACGATGAACAATTGCGGCATCTGCTTTCGATATCTTGATCCATCGTAGGCCAGTATGCGTAGCTTCGAGCCAGCGCTTTCATCTTTTTGATACAAGGATGACCGCTGTTGTTCATCGTGCCTGCAAGCCGACTCAACAATAAATGAAATGAGATGATCATGGAATATTTAATTAATGGTTCTTTGAAAATCTTCTTGACTTCTTTGAAATGCTGTAATCGATTTGAAGAAGGTCAGTAGGATTACTTAAAAGAATTTAGGCTAGATCACCATAGAAAACCTGGAAGCACTGGACGTTCATTTCGTCCTAGTATGGGACTCCTCAGTTGTCTAGAGTTTATGTTTTCCGCGCGAGACCGACAGGTCGTGGGTTAGAATCCCGTGAGCGATATAATGGATGTGTAGTGCTTAAAAGTCCCATAGTAGGATGAAACGGCTGTTTAGTGCCTTCAGATTTTCTATGATGGTCTAGCCTTAATTGATCTATGAATTCAATTATAAAAAATACAGAGAGATGACTTTGTCTAAACATAAACCTTTGAAATCACAGAATTTACATATCACTTGATGTTTTCATTGTATTCTTATGCCTCAAAATGAGTAATTACCATCAATTTTGGTTAATTTTACAATGACAGTTTTCCGAACTATTGTCATGTTTACTACTTATGCGCACAGATATAAGTAGTATGTATTAGAAATTGGAAGTAAAATGCTTACTAGCAGAAGATTGAAATAAACAGAAGAGGGAGAAAAACAGACAGAAATCGGAAGAACAACCACAGAATTGGAAGAATGATGAAGTATGTGAAGGTTAATTCAAGGAAAATATGCAAATAATGTTTTCAACATATGAAAATCATATTTGACAAAGTCACTGTGCATTTTCTGCATTGAGTAGTATATTGGTTTAACGTATCTCAGTATACACACACTACACTATTATTTATATTGAAATCATTCATATGAGATCATGAGCCGATTGATGTTAGACCACCATTGGAGACCTGAGAGCACTGGACGGCTGTTTCTTTCCAGTATGGGACTCCTCAACATTGTTCATCCACGAACCCACACTTATAATTCGAACCCAGGACCTTCGGTCTTGCATGCGAACACTTAACTTCTATATCACTAAGCTGACATCCAACACTGTTAATATCTAACTTCCATTGAGCCTTGTATGGCTAAACAACCATTCATTTATTGTTTAAGGTAGATGCCTATCTCTATTCGACACAGATTAAACTCTACTAGCCACGGTTTTTCACTAGAACTTCAGGAAAACATCCTAGAGCCAGTCAGTAGTGAGCATTTTCGACAGTACAATTGAAATCCAATGAATAACAATTGAATGAATATACTACTTTAGAAATTGGTTATCAATAAAATTATAGCATCACTATAATCTAATGATAAACAATGAGATGATTAACAATAGGTGATTCGTTATTATTATTTTTTAGGCATTATTAGAATTGGATAGTGTTAATGTAAATGCAGAAGGTGAACGAGGAGCATCACCATTACATTATTGTTGTATACATGACAGTGTGGAATGTATGGAGATACTTGTGAGTTCAAGACCTTCTTATTGTTGTTGTTGTTGTTGTTCTGTCAAACAAATTCACTTCAATCATTCAGAACAACATAGTACCGTTTTGACAATGAAACTAAGTGTAAGAAGTGTTGGAAACTAATATTTTTCTGAATTCAATGAGTAGAAAAGGTAGATTTACTGACGTTTCGTAACTCAATGTAAGCCACTTCTTCAGAGAATAAATAACCAAATCGAAATCAATCCAAGTGACATGTTTGTAAGTTTGTAGGGGTGTGTGTTTATGTATGTTTGCTAGGTCATGGATGAAAAAATGTGTGACCATCGTATTGAGAAAGCATAGAGTTTCATTTGTATATCCGCTAAAAGTGTAAAATGTGAATAGAATCAGACATATAAGCTTGGATAGATAGTCCAAATCGGATGAATAAAGAGGCCTTCTTTTCTAATGAGGGTAGTATGATTAAGCATTATATGGATCACGTCAGCTATTCTTCTTTCTTTGTAGTTGGAAATGCCTTTTTGTATTAGTTTGATGTATTTGATATCGATTTGGTGGTTGTTGACAATGGTGTGAACTGCTTTCGTCAATTTAATTTGAAGTCTATTCAGTTTTACAGGATTATTAGGTAGTTTCTTTGTGTACCTAGGATTTTATTTGGCTCGAGTAAAGATTTCACGAGATGACTCTCCAATATAGAAGGCATTACAGTCGACACATCGTAATTTGTAGACACAGTTCTGTGTTGACACAAACCGGAGTTTTTCTTGTAAGCGAAGTAAAGTATTTCGAAGGGTGTTCGTTGTTTTCTAATAAACTTTAATTCTGTGTTGTTTAAAGAATTCTGTTATACCATGGACGTAAAACTAAATTGCCATCCTATGTGTGCCATAACTAGATTGGTTACTATTGGGGACATGGGCGATCCCATTGCCACTTCGTTGGTTTGTTTATAAAATGTCCTGTTAAAAATAAATAACACCAGTTGGAATCATGAATCAATTGAACCTAGACCACCATAAAAAACCTGGAAGCACTGGTCCCAGCATGGAACTCTTCAGCAGTGGCCTAATGGATTCGAATCTCGCCGGGGCAGGATCGTGGATGCGCACTGATGAGGAATCCCATACTAGAACGAAACGGCCTTCTAGTGCTTCTAGGTTTTCCATGGTGGTTTAGCTTCAATTGACTCATGTTTCAACTAGTGAAATGTCTAAAAATCTCTACAAAACCTCTTCTGATAAAAGTAAATAAGATTGAATTTAAGCAAAGTTTCAGGGATATCATGATTAGACTAATGCAATTATTATTATTATTCATAACAATCTACTTAATGCTCAATTACTACTATTACTATGGTGAAATGTAACGTAGTGGTTGGACGTAAACTATAGAAAATTCAACTTCACAATCAGATACATTACCACTGAGTGATAAGAAGGACCAGATATACATGACACCCGTCAATTATAAGTATATTCAGTCCTACAAGAGGTTAATTGTAGCCTGAATAGTTCAATGACATCTTTGATTATGAAACTGCAGAAAATTGGATCTAATCCTCCTTGAAGCATCAGTTCTCCCAACATTACAAGTATACCTTTGCTGGCTAGTGGCAGGCGGCAGAAAACCTATATACAGGGTTTCTTGTCAACTACCACCAACCGCCATCTGACATTAGATAATCCTTAACTGTAGCCCTCAGTCGAGGTACTGCTTTTTGTTTGGATATTTTTTAAGAGGTTGAGTCCTCTAATAGTTTGATAGTTAGTCATCAATACTAAGAAGTGGATTTGTTTGGCTGACTTGTCTCGCAATAGGTATAACGAATGTATAAGGTCCCATCGATAGTCCGATATCAAATAGGTTGACAATTTGGATAGTTCAAACTCAGTTATAGCTGCCATTATAGTGAACGTTCAGAACTTTATAAAATGTGATGTCAAAATGAGCATTGTTGGCTCGAATTTGCTATAGCTTCTGCTATGTATAAGAGATGAGATCGAACATCATAAGGAAAACTAGCAGGAATACGATAAATAGCTTTAAATGACTTATTTCTGTCTACTACATGACCGCTATCGATCAAGTGTGATAAAATCGAGCTGCTTATTGTTTTGACAGTAACTTTTCCTAACCATGAAGGGAGGTGTTCACTAACTCTTTGGTTCAGTTCTCTGATAGTGGTCCCGATATAGTTTTCTCCACAGGATCATCTGAATTCGTAGATACACATTGATATGGCAGAACCAGGTAACTTATCCTTGAGTTGGAGAATCACCATAGATCGGGTTGAATACGATAGATATATTAATATTACTGTATATTAGATTGAAACCTGATGAGGATCTAATCGAAAATGAGAATTGAATCTTCAATCAAATTTCACCATTTAATACATTATTAAGACCTTTATTACTAACGATTTTTAGCCTGAAAAACACACAACTTGTCACTATACTATTCTCATATTATTTTCACTGCTATGACAACTATTCGATTCTAACACAGAATACTTCAGTTCTTATACATTTAATGTAGTGAATGAGAACACAAGTTGGGGGGGGGGACAATCGAATGTATTTGAACACACAATTACAGAACATCTTATCAAAATTCCGAGAATTATAAAGTAGATAATTCATTTGGAAGATGTCAATCAATCGTCTCAGATTTCATTGATTTCTTCGTTCCCATTCTTTTCTCTTCGATCTTCTTAACTTTCTGTTGCTAGGTATTTCAATTTCGATAGATGATATATACTACTTATATCGATCGATATCAGTAGCATACACCATATTAGCATCAATTTTCTGAAATCAGGAAACAATATTGATTAGATGGAACATTCAATAGGTTACCTTTAAGATTCTTTCAATAAAACTGAATGTTATCATATTCATTATTATTATGATGAATTCTTTATTATTCTTTATAGTTAAACAAAGGGGCTAATATATTCTCCCATGATTTAGAGCATACCTATCCGGTACATGTTGCTATAGCTAATGTTAGTCGTAAATGTTTAAATTTATTATTTAAAATGGAAGCTTATTTACAAGGGAACAATTTAAATCGATCAATAGAATCACATGACATGAAATCATCAATCACTATGGCAACACAACGTACCCATGTATTACGTAATAATAATAATAATCACATAGTGAAATATGATTTAGAAAATCAAATTCAATTTAATCAATCTGATATAAAAAAGAAATCGATCGATTTAAATCAATCTGATTATCAACGAAGTCAGCAAGAGAATTGTTTAATTCATTTAACTGATTGTGAAGGTGAAACTCCATTACATGCAGCAGTTACATCAGGGAATTCAGATATGGTTAAAGTAAGCTTAATATATATACTGACCAGTTGTGTTATTATTGTAATAGGATGGTTACTATCGGAATATATGTCATCTTAGCTATCGTTTTGTATATAAGCATCGATTGAAATTGAGTTAGTGAATAACACAATTAAGGAAGTCAAATATGAGAACGCATATCTTATCCAATCGTCAACCCAGACGAATGATCAAAGAAGCGTAGTGAAGAAAGAGAAATGAAGAGAAGAGAGTGAAGCAAAATGATCTGTGCACGAGAAGGAATGTAAACAAACTTGATTTAATCAAGCGTGAAACGATATTTACAGTCAGACAAAGATAAGCTACATACATGTGACAGTCAAGATGAATAAGCAAATAAGTGGCAGGGTAAAAATGAGACTTCAGAAGAATGAGTAGATTGATTGTCCCAGAAACTAGAACAACCTATGTGGGCTTGGCATGGGGTTAACCTCTGTAGTACAATGAAAGCAATTAAACAGAATTATGCTTTGAATTCTCCCTGTTTATAGCTCGGTTGATACACTTGATACTATTATATACGTAAAATATATGTGCTTCCGAGTTTACCATGGTGGTCTAGTTTCAACTGAATCATGGATTCAACTATGGAATTTCCTAACAAGTGATGTCTTGATTGAGTTGGAGAATGCTGATAGGCGGCCGCCTATGATCCACTGAGAATAACAGAAGTAAGTAAGTAAACTTGATGCCTTCTATTTGTGGCAACTTTTCTTGTTCTTCTTGTTTGTTTCTTTTCAGTGAAGTCGGAGGGGGGTATTGATAAATTTCATTCTTTTTTTCTTCTTCTTCAAATTACAATTAGTTTTGTTTAGAGCACAATGCATTTATATTAGCTAAACAAAATGATGATTCAACACCGGTACATTATGCATGTATGAAAGATGATTTAGAATGTGTTCAATTAATGTTTGATGCGGATCCATCAATTAAATCAATTGTTCTACAAATGCAAGATAAAAATGGTTATACACCATTACATTTAGCCGCTGTTTATAATCATGAAAAACTGGTTACATATTTAGTTGAACAGGTATGTTATTTATAAAACAAAAACAAATGGGGAGTTGAGTTAATCTAAACTAGACCATCATTGAAAACTTGAGCAGTACTCATCAACGATCATACCCTACGAGATTCAAACTCAAGATATATGAGTCTCGCACATAAACACTTAACATCTAAACCACTAAGCCGGTGTCCAACGGTGTTATAGTCTAACTTCAAACAATCTATGAAATTGAGCCACGGACCACCATTATCTTTAGTGAGTTACTATCTCACAAAAAACCTGGTTGAACTCCATTGTTCACTGCTTCTCACTAGAATTCCAGGAAATACGTCTTGGAGACCGTCACTAGTGAGCATATGATAATTATTATCAGAAAGGGTTTTGTGGAGATTGTAGTAATTTTAATGTGTGAATTCATGAGTCAATCTAAGCTAGACCACCATGAAAAACCTAGAAGCAGTGGACGGTCGTTTCATCCTAATATGAAACTCCTGAGAAGCGCGCATCCACGATCCTTATTTCTGATAAAAATCATGTGACTAGCTTCAAGAATGATTATCTGGATTTCTAGTGAAAAGCCGTGATCAGTATATTCCAAACTGTTTCTAGTCGAGACAGGTATTCACTTCAGACAATGGGTGAATGGTTGTGCATGATCATGGATTGATTGAAGTCAGACATTAAAGTAGTTGGATGCTAGCTCAGTGGTTTAGAGGTTATTCATTCGTTCGTGAAATCGAATATCCTGAAATCGAGTCCAAAGTGCGGGGTCGTAGATGCGCATCGATGAGAAATCTCCCACTAGCATGAAATGGCCATCCAGCACTTCTAGGTTTTCAATGATGGTCTAGCTTAGGTCGACTCATAAATATAACTATTTATGAAAAGTAAATAATTTTTGTATATTTTACTCGTCATTATAGAATAATTAGTATCATTCAACATAGTGTATTAATTTATCATGGATATAAGATTTTTCAGTCCCTTATTCGTTCCCCAACCGTAGACCTCTTGTACCAAACTACACTAAATGACATAATTCCTTCCGTGTTTCGGATTATCGGTATCAATTCGCAATAACTGTCATCTCCAATATCTAAGTGAAATAGTAAATCGGAATATATTTTCAGACAAATATTTGTTGTCGTAAGTTTCCAAACGAGAGAATAATTCATGCTTTAACCAAGAGCTTATGAAAATGATTGCTAGGTTTGAAGTGATTATGAGTTCACTTAGTCTGCGAATGGAGCAAAGACTCTGTGACCAAAGACCAATAAACTAGCTATTCTGCTACGTCCCAACTCCGCTAACTAGAGAGAGAAGTCCAAGTTCGAAATGGGGAAATATAATCTGCAAGCAGCCAGAAGGACGAGCAACCACAACAGGCACAAATCAAATGTATACATAAAGCACAAAACCGTCCTTGAGAAGCGTTACTAAATAGCATACTAAAAGATACAATAAACCAATAGCGTCTAAGATTCTTCTAAGTGGAGAATACGACATGAAGGTGACAAGAGCGCTTTTGGCGCGAAAACAAAGAAGTTCAAATTTTCAAACTAAAATTACAAAAATAAGATATTTTTCAAGTGAGTTCTGGCGATGTAACATCCCCAACAATGATACTTACTGACACTTCATAATACGAGACAGGTATCGACATCCTTATGACTTTGTTTTAACATATGTATTTAAATGGAAAGACTATAATTTATGGATGAACCAATCAGATATAAGATAATGAATCTAGAATTTTGGCGCGAAATTCATTTACCGATTTGGCTAAATAGCGTTTTGCCATTATAACTGATATCAGTTCTTGATCAAAAGCATAAATCGAAACCCTAACCCTAATCATCAACTGTAAACCATAATTGTAGTCCCTCACCCTGGTTTATAACCCTCATTTGGTCCTAGTTAGTAGGTGAACATTCTCAAGGTCACTGCGGAGTCGCTTAAAGATCGTCTACAACTTATAGTCTCACCAAAGTGTCTAAGTGTTTGTTCACTCAATCAAAAAAAGATCAAACACATATTGACGTATTGTAGTAAAAGATGAACACACAACTCCAGGTATTTGTCCCCAAAGAACAAATCTAAATCTTATTGACGACTTGAACTTTTATAAAATTTGTCAGTATGGTTTTTGGTTTTACAAATCCATGGTAGATGGTTCTAGAATCTGACAATAAAGTGTACATATTCTATTTGATTGTCTAATTTGTCTAATTTAGGTTCGAATCTGACGAGGCAGAATCGTGAATGTGCGATGCTGAGGAGTTTAATATTAGGACGAAACGACCCTGAAATGCCTTCAGGTTTTCCATGATGGTCTAGCTTCAATTGACCCATGAGTTCAACAACTTGATTTGTATTTGTTCTTCAAAACAGTACGACTCCAAAATGTTCTAATCAATCCTGGTATTTAAGTATTATGTTTTGTAAAGGTATTGTGATTTGAGCAAGAGACCAAAATTGATTTTTTTTACTCTAAACTTTACTTCTTTGTTCTGTTACATCTTTATAATAAATAAAAAATAGGGTTCACCTTTAGAAATGACTGAAACAAATGGATGGACACCATTATTATTAGCTGCTATGAAAGGAGCTTTTCAAACATGTATTCAATTACTTCGTCTTGGAGCAAATCCTAATGCACATGATTCCAGTAATCGTAATTTAGTTCATTTACTGATGTTATTTCAAGGTCCAGGAATCAGAACAGTCCTACCAGAGGTGAATGATGTAAGTTAATGACTATATATATAAAATATATGCAATTTTATAGTTGAATTCATGAGTTAATTAAAGACAGACCACTATGGAAAACCTGGAATTACTGGACGATCTTTTCGTCCTAATATGGGACTCCTGAGCAATAGATATCAACGACGTCGCTCTCACGACTCAAATCCACGACCTTCTGCCCCGCGCGTTAACGCTCATGAAGAGTTTCGGTTGTATACCAATAATCATTCTTAAACTGGGATAAAATAGCTTCTAAAGTTCAGTGGTTTTTATTATTTACTATATAGTGTATGCCGCTTGTGTCAGGTAGAATGTTCCAGTGAGGCGGCGTTGGCTGTAGCAACTGCTGTCGATGGAGAGGAGTAGGGGAATATGTGGCTGCTGGGTAGGCATCGGAGGTAGATGGCTCTTCAGGTCCACATTGCTACGGAAATCAGCGCGCGGGCGGACTCGATATTTTGACGGGCAGCATGGCACAAACTTCAGGAAAGAAGAATGTGGCACGGCGAGCACAACAACTTCATGATCGACCGTTTAAAAGGGGGACCAATGTAGTGTATGCTGCTTAATGTCTACAGGCTTAAGTAGTATGTAGCACTAATCAGAAGTGAAATACCTGTCAGCAGAAGGTTGAGAAGATCGAATTGATGAGAAAAAGAATGTAAACCGAGAGTAATTTCTAATAACAATGAAGGAATGATGAAACTTGGAACAATTAAACGAAGATTTGCAAATGAAGTATCTAATGTATAATTTCTCACCTATCAACTCTTTAATTAGCATTAAACATTAAATTCATTGTCCTCACTTAAGTTTCATTCGCTTCAATTGGGTTCGATTTTAGCATGCAAACTGAATTACATAATAATTAAAGGGTTACTATCTTAGATAACATGAAGATGGATACTTCAGTATTAACTGTAATGCCTATTTAACTCTATATCTTTGTTAATTATTGAATAGGAGGAATTATTTAAACGATTAGTCAATGAAAAAGATAAATATGGTACAACACCATTACATTATTCAACTAAAATGGGTAATTTAGGTGCTACAATAGAATTTGTACTACGTGGTGCTTCTGCATTAGAACGTGATAATGAACGTAATACATCATTACATACAGCTGCATATTATGGTCGTTTACATACATGTGAAAAATTATTAGCTACATCACATGGTATGAGAGCAATGAATTGTCCAGATGCTGTTGGACGTTTACCACTTCATGTTGCAGTTGAACATGGACATATAGAAATTGTGAAAATGTTTATTGATCGAGGTTGTCTATTTCGAAAGTAAGATTTTGATAATATTTGATTTGTTATTTCATTCATATGGATTGTGGAGATTGGTTTGTTGACTGTGGTTGGTAATGTCGGATGTGAAAGTGAGGGGAGTGTGCCGTCAGAAACTTCTTACAAATTATAACCGATATATATATACATATATGTAACCTCTTGTTGCCATATGTGCATCCTGTGCGGATTGCCTCGATAAAGCCTTAAGTCACAATCTTTTTAAGTAAACATGATTAGTGGCTAATAGTGGAATTCGGGGACGCCCGTTTCGTCCCATTTGGGATTCGCCAGCTAGATGTACCTGCATCTCACAGATGATGTTCACCCTGAGACTCGAAACCAGTACCGTTTGCTTCAAACTCCATGACATTATCCACTTAGCTACTGAGTCCCTAATAGCCACTTGCTTGCGGAATAGGGCGAAGTTTAAATCCACTTGGTATTGTTTACTTGAATCTTCTCGTTGTTGTTTAGGACTGTAATTGATCAGTCTCTTGTAGGCATATATGCATCCTCTAAAGATTGCCCAATATTTTCATTAAGCCACAAGGATTCTAAAGAAAGATGTATAGTGGCTAATAGTGGAATTCGGTGACGCGCGTTTTGTCCCATTTGGGATTCGTCAGCTGGGTGTACCTGCATCTCACAGCTGATGTTCACCCTGGGACTTGAAATTAGTACCGTTTGCTTCAAACATCATCGGGTTATCACTAAACTCCATTGAATATTATGGGAATAAATATTAAATAGCACGTAATCTAGATCAGTGTATGACATTTTTCAATCACTTAACAAAACGGTAAAATATATTGAACTGAAAATACTGATGATCATCACAATAGTGTAGTCAATTATTGTTACTAGTATAGTCCAAATATTTGGATTGTATTTGCTTAATATACCGTATAGCTATGAAAAACTTCATCTTCTCATCATAGTTAATGATATTAGTTAAGAAGACATTCAAACTATCTTTGATTTAGTAGTGTGCTAAGGTTACGCTCCATGATCTTGGATGAGTTTCTAGCTAATATCATTTTACGATGAATGCTTTCAACAGGAATTGTTTAATCATGTTCAAAGGAAATCACAATGTCATCGGGTGAACTCATCGCCGAATCCTCTGTTATTTCGTTTTATAATACTGATACATAGAATTTGAAGTCTGTTTACAATGAGACATCTATAGCATACCAAACAGAATAGAAATACATTTTATCTCTATCAAGAATCTTTTGTGCCTCTCTGCTACAGTAAGAAACCTCCTTACTTACTTACGCTTTTTACACCTCGTGGAGGAGCATTGTCCGCCCACTAGTTATCCGTCTCCATTCAACTCTGTCCTGGACAATCCGTTCCAGTTATTTCCAGTTACTATTCATCCTTTACATGTCTGCTTCCGATTTTCAAAGAAATGTATTCTTTGGCGTTCCTCTTTTCCGTTTCGCTTCAGGATTCAAAGTGAACGCTTGCTTCGTGATGCAGTTTAATGATTTCCTCAATGTGTATCCACTCCACTTACACTATCTTTTCCTAATTTCCTCTTTAGCTGCAAACTGGTTTGTCCTCTTTAACAGTAGGTTGTTGCTGATGGCATTGTTTATAAATGTTTGTGTCTGCTTGATGATGGTTGTAGTAGTCCTCTACATTTCAGTTCCGTACAGTAGAACTGTCTTGAAAGAAGCCTCCCATCTCCCAGTAAATAAATAGTAAGGAATGTAAAAATATGTTTATTATCTGTCTGACAAAACCATTGTAAGCAGGTCCGGGTACAAATGTAAACTATAGATAATGAAGTTAAACGAGTAATCAACTAAGGATTAAGGCTATAAAGACAAAACAAAGTTCTATATGGTAACTGTTCATAGTTTTCACTTAACTACTAATAATATACTTCTCATTTCTTGATATCTCTATCATAGATGCCATTTAGGTAATACACCGTTACATTATGTTTCAATTGGTGGTTGTATAAAAATATGCAAATTATTATTACAATCAAGTCCATCTTTATTGAATCAAACGAATTTTCACGGAGTAAGTCTCTATGAAGTATTGAGATAAGAAGTTAAGTTTACAGGTTTTACTTCTAGTTAAACGATTTTAATCATTACGATATTGATTCACTGGATGTTGTTTAACTTGTATCTTCTCATTGTTATTTAGAACTGTAATTGATCGGTCTCTTATTGGCATATGTAAATCCTGTGAGGATTGCCTCGATATTGTCGTCAGTCACAAGTTTTTATAAGCAAAATTGGATAGTGACTAGCAGTGGAATTCAGAACACAAGTTTTGACACATTTTGAACTCGTCAGCTAGATGTACCTACATCACAGAGTTGATGATCACTACACGACTCAAACCCAGTACCGTTCGCTTCAAACACCATCACGTTATTCACTTAGCTACTGAATCCCTCATAGTCATCTGCTTGTGTAATAGGATGAGATTTCCACTGCTAACCACTATTCATCTTTGCTTAAAAAGATTACGATATTGAGTTTATATTTTACAATGTGACATTATTTCAGGTCAATTTATATATAGATAGAAATTTAAGGATTATTGAATGTTATCAAGATCATAAATCAACTTGTGTTGAACAACAATTGAAAACCAGGAAATATTAGACAGCATTCCTGTGACAGCATGAGCGTACAATCACGACCCTACGAGGGAGAGGATCAAACCCAGAGACGTCGGTCGATTAAACTGGGACTCCATGGTTTGTTTGTCTAGGTTTGTCATAAGTTATAAACAATCAATGTGAAAATAAGGATTTAGGTCTTACATTCCATTCTTTAAACTAAAAAGTAATGGTAATGGTAAAGTGAAAAAAATCTTAACTTTTTGCAGTCAGGTATTTCACTTCCGATTGTTAATACATACTACTCATATCCGTTGACATCAGTAGTACACACCAAAATAGTTTTATAAGTTCAGATTTAAATAGATTTGGAATAGAATTTCCTTTTTGTATCAAGTTGGTTTATAGGCGAACTCATCCTTAAATTAACAAAGTATCGAGAATTTGTGAATATGACAATGAACAGTTTTATATAAATATTGCTATGTTTGAAAAGAATACAAGATCACCAAAATTAGCCAACGGAACGAGGACTCCACAACACAATGACAATATAAGCTAAGTATTCCAATGCATCCCAGTCCCGCTAATCGAGGTTCAGAAGAGGGAAAGTATATTGTACAAGCAACCAGAAGCATGAACAACAACAAGCTCAACTCAGGTGTATATATATATATAGCATAAAAATATCCTTACGAAACGCCAGAAAATAGGATGTTAACAAAGACAACGAGCCGATAACATTCAGGGATCTTCTAAGTAGGAAATACAATCTGAAGGTAAAAATAGGCGCTTTCGGCGCAAAAATGAGAAGTCGATAATTAATAATTTAAACGGATGAACTCATATCTAAACTGATTTATTCTCATAGAATAATATTTTTATAAAGCAATATCTTAGTTTTCTTATGTAGGAATCTACCTAGAGTTTAGTACTGTTGATCAGTTCTTGACAAGATATACATTTACTTACTTACCTACATACCTACCTACCTACCTACCTACCTACCTACCTACATACATACATACATACATACATACATACATACATACACCTGTTACTCCCAATGGAGCATAGGCCGCCGCCAGCATTCTCCAACACACTCTGTCCTGGGCCTTCTTTTCTAGTTCGATCCACTTTTTGTTCATTCTTTTCATGTCTGTCTCCATTTCTCGATGTCATGTGTTCTTTGGTCTTCCTCTCCTCCTTTGACCTTGAGGATTCCATGTGACGGATTGCCTTGTGATACAGTTGAGTGCTTTTCTGAATGCGTATCCTATCCAGTTCCAGTGCCTCTTCTTGATTTCTTCGTCCACTGGAATCTGGTTTGTTCTCTTCCAGAGTAGCTTGTTGCTGATAGTGTCTAGTCAACGAATCCGAAGTATTTTGCATAGACAACTGATAATAAACACCTGTATTTTCTGGATGATGGCTTTCGTAGTTCTCCAGGTTTCCGCCTCCTACAGTTGAACTGTCTTGACATTTGTATTGAAAATTCTGACCTCGGTGTTGGTTGACAGACAGTTGTTTTGAGTTCCAGTTATTCTTCAATTGCAGATATGCTGCTTTTGTTTTGCTGTTCCTATAATACTACTGTATAGTCTGTTTGTATACTGACTTCACAAATCAAATTTGTGTTCTTTCATTAGGAATTACAAAAAAGATTTATGACCATTATACTCCATTTCGAATTATTTCTCTTCATATTCTAACCTGTGATTACCTAATCGTTCTATATAGATGACTGCATTACATTATGCTGCCAAAGAGAACAATGCAGAAGTATTAGATTATTTACTGACATCAAAAGCAAAAATTTTACCTGATAAAGATGGTATATACTTTGTTACATATGCTTTACAACGTAGAAATTATGAAACAATGAAAGCTATTGTTACACATTCACGGTTAGTGAATATTTTTTTGATCAGAATGAGAGTAACTTAATGGTTAAATTCATGAGTTGATTCAAGCTGAATCATCATTGAAAACCTGAAGGTACTGGATGGATGTTTGATCTTAATGTGGGAACTCTTCAACAGTATGCATCGACGATCCAACCCCACGAGATTCGAACTCAAGACATAACAGTCTCGCACATGAACGCTTAACATCTAAAACAATAAGCCGGTGTCCAACGGTGTTATAGTCTAACTTCAAACAATCTATGAAATTAAGCCACCGACCACCATTATCTTTAGTGAGTTACTATCTCACAATAGATCTGGTTGAACTCTACTGGTCACTGCTCCTCACTAGAATTCCAGGAAATACCTCTTGGAGACCAGTCACTAGTGAGCATATGATGATTATTATCAGAATGGATGCGCACTGCTAAAGAGTCCCATCATAGAATAAAACGATCATCCAGTGCTTCCAGGTTTTCCATGGTGGTCTAGCTTTAATCGACTCATGAATTCAACTATAAACTTACTAAAATTTCCACAAAACTCTCTTCTAAAAATATAAAATTGTCCAAATTTTTACAAAAGAAAACTCAAGTACTTTATAGTATACTAAAACAGCAAACACATTTGGTGAGACTATAAATTATGGACGACCTTTGAGCGACACCAAAGTGAACTTAGGAATGTTCACTTACTTACTAGGGCTAAATGATGGTTATAAAGCAGTATGAAGAGTAAGGATTATGATTTACAGTTTATGATTAAGGTTAAGAATTAGATTTAGGGTTGTTTTTATCACAAACTGACATCAGCTAAAATACGAGAACGCTATTTATCCAAATGGATGAGTGAATCTCGAGCCAAAATCTAAGACCTTTCCTTCTAAATCTGATTGGTTTATCCATAAATTATTGTCTTGTCACAGATTTCTCTTTCTATTCTCATACTATTCACTAATCAAATGTTCAAGTGTACTTCTTACATCTTTCAACTGTGAAGTTTCTTTATTTCAATTTCACTTCTTTAATACAGTTGGCCAGAACTACATGGAATGTTAGACAATACATCTCAATGTCCAGTGGATGGATTTATTCGAAATATGCCATCAATGTGTAAAGTGAGTTAAAATATGCCATAGTGTTATATAGTAGTTAGGATATATTGAATTAAAATGATTCACTATTCAGTTAGGTTGTTTCTTAAGGTTTATTATAGAGAATGATTAAAAGGCACAATTAAACTTTTGAGGGATTCATACCTTCTGAATGAAATTAAGATCTATCTTAGATCAATGTGATACAATTGTACAAACTAGTGGCTATCAGAACTCATTAGATAAATGGATAACACGATGACGTCTGAAGCGAACGGTACTGGGTTCAAGTCTCAGAGTGAATATCAAATCTAAGATTCAGGTACATCCAACTGACGAATCCAAAACAGAATGAAACGCGCGTCTTCCATTCCTCTGTTAGCTATCAACCATCTTTGCTTAGAATACTTGATACTGAAGACATTATCAAGGTATTCTCACAGGATCATCAAATTACAATTCAACAATTGACTTACAATGTAGTTTTCAAGAGCTGCTAAGATCATGCATCTTATCATCAACTGGATCTAGATTGTGTACTTCCATTAACAACTAGAACTAAAAAAATAATTATTTAATGCTCTTCTATTGTGAAATGTATTTTAAGTCCGACCTTCGCTAATGGTCAAGATCACTATCGTGTACATCTTAACAACCTCTTTTAAATGAGGTAAACGGAATGAAGATAAATTGAACAGTAGACTTCTTCTAATTAGTCTCAACTGCTAACTCGAATTCATAGACTAGAAGATGTTTATGACATTCACTTACTAAGAAGAATAAATAATGCTGAGAAAGGAGTATGTTTATTCTACCATAATATGAATAGATAACATGAAAGATTATGATTTAAACACTTTTCTATTCGTGGATACGTTGGTTATTAAACTAATATAAGAAATCAGTATGTGTTTGTAGAAATTATTAAGTTTTTGATTGAGATCATGAACCGATTGGTGTTAGACCACCACTGAAAAATTGGAAGCATTGAACTGCTGTTTCGTCCTATCGTGGGACTCCTCAGCAGTGTGCACGGTTTCTCAGTGAAGGCGTGACCAGTGGAGCTAATCCATGTCGAGTAGACACATGCATCTACCTCAGTACAATGGGAGATGGTCGCGCAAATTCGTGGATTGGTTGGGGTTAGACATTAACATCGTTGGATGCCGGCCAGCTCAGTGGTCTAGATGTTACGTGTTCGCATGCAAGACCGGAGATCCTGAGTTTGAACCCCACTAAGGGGATCATGGATACACACTGCTGAGGAGTCCCACAACAGTACGAAATGACCTTTCAGTGAGTCAAGGTTTTCAATGGTGGTTTTACACCAATCGGTTTATGATCTCAAATAATATAAGAAAGTTTCTATAAAGGTTTGATATTTTCTTCATTGTTTTGATGATAGCTTGTTTTGGATCAGTGTATTAAAGAGATTGGCACGAAAAATACTCTTGATCATGAAGTGAGTTAAGTTTATACATTTTATTTTACTGTTTTTTGTTTGAGGAGGAGTTAGCTTCTTTAAATATAACTTCTCCAGACGTTCTTTGGAAGTTACTCATTCTTAATGATAAGTATGGTAATAACTGCTTTACTATGTACTGTTATGGAAATAGTTGTTTCAGTACGAAAGATTTAAGTATGTCTTTTTAGAGTTCATCAACATTCCACCTTTACGCTGAAAACTATCGTCATTGAATTAGTCTTATCTTTTATAGGTTTCTTTTCGGTCATTATAAAAAGATTTCTATAGTTGATTTTCAAGAAGACGAATTATGCATTTAGGATTATGTTCGCACAGTTGGGATTCCTGATAAGTCTGATAAGTGAACGCTCTTCAGTAAAGTGTACCTGTAATCTTGAGTAAACTGATTCTCCCTGACGGATCTAATGCCGTGTTACTCAGATTCACAGTCAGAGATGTCACCACTGGGCTATCCGGGCCACGGCTGACCTCTTGTAAAACTGAGATGTGTTTACAATTGATTGATTACTGGGTAGTGATCAGTGTCATGTATTTCAGGTCCTTCTTAGTGCAGATAGAATCCGTCAGGAAACATCAGTTCCCTCAAGATTACAGGTACACCTTGCTGATGAGTGCCAAGTAGCATGAAACCTAGGTCCAGGGTTTCCTGTTAACTACCTCCCACCATCATCTCATCTCAACATAGTACATGCAATGTTGAGTCACCTTGACTAGTGATAACATTGCAACTTGATCGATAGGATTCGATGTGCACTAAGAAGGACCTGACATACATGACACTGATCACCACACAGTGATCGATCAATTGTAAATGAACTCTCCATCAGATATTTGAGCAGCTCCTGAGTTTAAACTATATGGGATCTTCAACACAAAAGAAAAAGCACATAGTTCAAAAAGAACACGCTACTTTAAGGTTATTTTATGTACAGAAAAATGGGGGTATGTATAGAGTTACACACAAGCCTGAGCTTCTGGAAGTTTCTGAGACCATACTTAATGTAGTAGCAACATATGTAAATATCTAATTAGAAACGCGATACATGACTCTTCACATTTTAGATGTTTTTGAGAAGAGTCTATTCAGCGCCTATTAGATAGCATGGTGGGACCATATTTTATAAACGACCTTTGAGTGACTACGCAGTGACCTTGAGAATGTTCACCTACTAACTAGGACCAAATGGGGTTTATAAACCAGGGTGAGGAATTAGCTAAAATGCCAATACTTTAGTTAGTCAAATGGATGGGCGAAGTTTGCGCCAAAATCCGAGACCCATTATCTTATACCTGATTGGTTCATCCATAAATTATAGTCTCGCCGATAGCATTTCCTATAGTTTTCTAGACTACTATGGATTTTTTCAAAGAATACTTTGGAACTCTTTAACAGCCGACTTGATACTTTTAAACTGTTCCATTATTGTAGATATTCTATGACTTTTCAATACTTCAACGACCCATGAATCCTTGTGAAAAACCACCACAGGATCCTATGAAACGTATCAAGGTAAATATAAAATTTTCAATGTATTTCTTCTAAATAATGTTGCTTATGGTTGTTGTTACATTTCATCTTATAGATTTTAAATGATCATTGTCGGACGGTAATATAATGGAATCGTTTATGATGTAGACGAAATGTAGATCCTAATTAAATCTTATGTGTTCGTTTGATTGACAACGCGACTATAAGCTGTTGAATATATGAGTATGCTACGGTTGATTATATTTGATGCATTCAGTTTTGTAGATAAATGAAGAGGTGAGAAGGATAGAAGGCATTAGTGTCTACTTAAAATACTGTCCATTACAACCGTTAATGTACATTTTAAATAGATTATGAATAGCGCTGACGGGAGAAAGGTATTGGATCAAATGATATGTGTATAAGCACACAAATATATACACATGAGACGTATAACTGTACAAGGGCAGAATATAAATTAGTAATACAAATTGGTACAAAGGGGCACTGAATACATACGTACAACACAAGTCATCCGATTTGTGTGTGGGGCAGGATACTGCCCAGGTGCCCAAACGAAAGCAGGTGGTTTTTGTAGAGGGCCACACTCGAAGCCTTCGACCTAAAGGTCTAATCCACAAGGTAGTGGAGCAACGTCAGAAGATGCAGTCTTATGGTAACCGGTGACCAACAAGAAGTTCATGTCCCATTTGTTCACCCACGATCCTGGATTCCATATGCAACATTGGTTTGGAATGAAGGTTTTGCAACTGCCCTAGGTGGACTCTCTATGTCTATCAACCAGGTTAAAGCGCCGGACATTCGCTTCTCGTCCACCCAATTTCGTAAACAATACCCCTGCCACGAGAATATAGTGAGTAGGACTTCCATGGTAGTGGCTGTATACGCGTATCCATGTGAGAGTATTTGGAGAGGGAGAGCTGACTGACTCATAACCCTTGGCCGTACAAGGGCATTTGGGGGTATATGTAATGAAAATCACAATTTCATATAAAAAAAGGTTATTTGTGCTTCAAAGAATCAAGATTAATTGGTAATTAAACAGTTCTTACTCCACCAACCTTTTGATCACAGGGTAAAAATAGCTAGTTATATACCATTTCTAGATGTTAAAATAACTAGAAGTATCAAAATTATTCAATAAAAATGGTTCTTGCTTAATCCAAGGGATAATGTTAGTGGTTCATGACCATTAAATCCATCTGGAGTAGATAGAAACCTTAAGTGAGTGGAACTCGTCTCTATATATCAACTTCATTGACTTTGTAGACAGGAGAACATCATGGAAACTTCTTCGACACTATGAACTTCCTTAGAAGATTTTCAACATTATCCGGAACTCATACGACGGACTACAGTGCAAAGTCGTGCATGGAGGACACCTGACAGATGTATTCCAAGTAAAGACTGAAGGCGGACAAGGCTGCCTACCCTTCACCTTCCTCTCTCTTTTGGTGGTTGACTGGATTATGAAAACCTCGACATCTGAGGGAAAGCATGGAATAAAATGGACAGCTCGGAATCATTCAGAAGATTTGGACTTCTCAAATGACCTGGCCCTTCTATTCTATACACACGAACAAATGCAGATGAAGACAAATAGTGTGGCAGAAGCCTCTGAGTCAGTGGGCCTCAACATACATAAAGGAAAAAGCAAGATGCTGAAATAAAACACGGAGAACACACACTCAGTCACACTGGATTGAGAAACTCTGGAAGATGTGGAATCCTTCACGTACTTGAGAAGCATACTTGATGAACAAGAAAGATCTGATGCACATGTAAATGCGAGGATTGGTAAAGCAAGGGCCGCATTACTACAGCCGAATAACCTATGAAAGTCAAAACAACTGTCAAACAATATCAAAGTCACAATCTTCAATACGAACACCAAGACAGTTAGTTATATTGTAGAGAGCTGGAACGTGAAGAACTACTACAACAACCATCAAAATGGTAGAAGTATTTATAAACAGTTGTCTACGCAAGATACTCAATATCCGTTGGCCAAATACTATCAGCAACAGCCTACTGTGGGAGGTAACAAACCAGCTTTCAGCTGTAGAAGAGATTATGAAAAGTAATTGAAAGTGAATAGACATACATTATGGACGACATCAAACTGCATCACGAGGCAAGAGTTAATTTGGAATCTTGAAGGGAAACGGAAAATAGGGATACCAAAGAACATACTGCTTCAAGAATCGGAAGCAGACATGAATAGGATGAATAGTAATTGGTAATACCTAGAAAGGTTTGCCCAGGACACAGCTTGATAGAGAATGTTGGTGAATGGCTTATGCTCCTCGATGAGAGGTAACAGGCGTAAGTAATATATATATATACATATATCACGATGGTCATAGCTCGTCGCTAATAACATACTTATTATTGAGGTATGTGCTAAAAATGTAAAAGAAAAATACAATGGAAGCTTGCTGACCAAAATCTTCAGCACAGAGAATAACACATCTTCAAAACCCTTATTCAATGCTACATATTCGTTGTTGCTAACAACATAATTTATCATCAAACCACTTACATTCAGACTAACCGAGTGAGTAAGATACAGACTAATTATACTACTGTTAGGTAGTTGAGGGACTTAAACGTTCAACGACAATCGAATTATTACCAAAGAGTAAAGATATGATTTTTCATTATCAATAATTATCGATCTATTCACCACAAAGGAAATAATCATTAAAGGGTAACTAAGTGTATAATAATGGATTGAGTATTTGAAGCGAAAAGATAATGATTTCGAATTTCAATGTAAACATGCTATATTTGAATTGATTACGAGTTCATCTAATCTGAGAATAGAACAAAGACTCTGTGACCAAAGACCAATAAGTTAGCTATTCTGTTACGTCCCAACTCCGCTAACTAGAGAGACAAGTCCAAGTTCGAAATGGGGAAATATAATCTGCAAGCAGCCAGACGGACGAGCAACCACAACAGGCACAAATCAAATGTATACATAAAGCACAAAACCGTCCTTGGGAAGCGTTACTAAATAGAATACTAAAAGACACAACGAACTAATAGCGTTTAAGATTCTCTCAAGTGGGAATTACGAAATGAAGGTGAAAAGAGCGCTTTTGGCGCGAAAACAAGAAATTCAAAAGTTCAAACTAAAATTACGAAAATAAGATATTTACCAAGTGAGTTCTGGGGATCTAACATCTCCAACAAAACATCAACACTGAGGTACAGATACATTTAGCCTAATAAAGTACATCCTAGATTCCATTCCTTGTCACTATCCAACTTTAACAAAAAGTACGAAATTCATTGTAATCGATGAGTTTCTAATTGCACAAGCTAGAGGCCATCCGAACTCAGTAGCTAAGTGAATAACGTGATGGCGTTTGAAGCGAACGGTAGTGAACTTCGAGTTTCGGAGTGAACATCGTATCTGAGATTCAGCTGACGAATCCTAAATGAGGCGAAACGTGTGTCATAGATTCCGCTACTAGCCATCATTTATATTTCCTTATAAAAAGTATAAAACTATTTTCAGAAGTATTATCAACTGTATAGTGCATATAGTTGTGTACATTCCATCATAATACATACATAATTATGTTTACTCTACTTTTCAGTTAATGGTCGAGTTGAAACGTGAAGAGTTATTGATTCATCCACTTTGTAAAGCATATTTAGAAAGAAAATGGTAATGATAGTAACTATAGTTTTTTCTTAAATATTGTTCATTACTGAATATTTGAATCATTCTAATGTTTAAACGAATAGATTCTGTAAAATTCACTGTTCTTTTTGATTGAGATCATGAAAAGTTTACTGTTAGACCACCATTGAAAACCGGGAAGCACTGAACGACCGTGTCGTTCTATTGTAGGACTCCTCAGCAGTGCGCATGCACAATCCCGCCACGCGAGATTCGAACCCAGGAGCTACCGGTCTCGCTGACGAACGCTTAACCTCTAGACCACTGAGTCTGGATCTAATGGTGTTAATGTCTAATTTCAAACAATCTACGGAATTGGGTAATGCATTCACCATTGTCTTCAGTGAGTTACTATCTCACAACAGAATTGGTTGAGCTCTACTAGTCTCTGGTCCTGAGTTCTAATCTCGCAAGTCGGGATCGTGGGTACGCACTGCTGAGAAGTCCCACATTAGAACGAAACGGCCATCCAGTGCTTCGAGGTTTTCCATGATGATCTAGCTTCAATTGACCCATGATCTCAATCATTAAAGTTAGTAAAATATCCACAAAACCCCTTCTAATCCTAATTTCATTATTATTGTTACATGTGATTAACTTTGTTTAAAGGCAAACTTATGGACGTTGGGTTCAATTATGTGTAAGTGTTTATTATGCTGTTTTATTATTGGCAATTACTTGTTTGGTTTTGGGTCATAGTCCAATACGTCATGTAGAAAATATTGACAAAATATCAAGTTGTTCTGAACTGGTAAGTTAAACATAAAGTTTCATTTATACAAACTATTTTATATTGAAAGTGTACGACAGAGATGTTGATCTGAAGAATGTATGTATATTATTTCTATGTTGTAAACAAGGTATACAGATGACTAAGTCAGATGCATTTTCATGTAAACAGAAGGCTTACAATAAGGTTTGTTGTGAACAAGTACACAGATGAGGACAACTGATTGTGTGTTCAGATACACAGAGTTACAGAATCTATTGGTAAAATGTGAGAACTATACATTGATTACTTCATTTGGAAACTTTCATCATAAGTCCACATCGTATTTCCGTTTCTGTTTTCTTCAAGTCAACCTTTATAGCCTTCTGTTGCCCGATTTTCCACTTCCGATTGGTGTTACATACTACTTGTATTTGTCGACATAAGTAACATACACCACAGATTGATATTAATAAGGACTAGACAAGCATGACATTCATCACCACCAAGTGATCAATCAATTGTGATTACATCTCAGTCCTACAGGAGGTTAGTCACGGCTCGGATAGCTCAGTGGTAACGTCTCTGACTGTGAAGCTGGGTGACACGAGATCTAATCCGCCAGGGAGCACCAGTTCCCTCAAGATTACAGGTACACCTTGCTGACGAGTGCCAAGTAGCACGAAACCCGTGTCCAGGGTTTCCTGTTGACTACCTTCAACCACCATCTAAATCACAGATTGATATTGGATATCTTCCAGTCAGAAAAATATACAAATCTGAGCTGAATAAATTCGAGTAGTCACATCGAAAACTTATAAATAGTATTACACTTTCACAACTGATTGGTCACAATTATTCTACAAACACGAAATATCTATAAATTCACTTGGTATTGTTTACTTGTATCTTCCCATTATTGTTTATGACTGCGATTGATCATTCTCTTATTGGCATATGTGCATCCTGTACGAATTGCTTCGATGTTGTCTTCAGTCACAAGCATTATAAGTAAAGATGTATGGTGGTTAGCAATGGAATCCAGGACACACGTTTCAAGTAATCAATACCAAGTGAATTTAAACTTTATCTGATTGCACAATCAAGTGGCTAACAGCACTCAGTAGTTAAGTGGATAAGGCGGTGGCGTTTGAAGCGAACGGTATTAGATCCGAATCCCAGAGTGAACATCAACTGTGGGACTCAGATACATCCAGTTGATGCGTCTTAAACAGGACTAAGTGCGTGTCCTGTATTCCACTGCTAGTCACTATCCATCTTTGTTTACAAGATATCTATGTCTGAAAAACCCAAATAACCTAATATTATGTATTGGTAACCAGAATAAATTGTACATGGATGTAAATCAATGATATAAGTATCGTTCAATGAATAAAACTTTAGCATTAACATTTATTGAGCGGCCTATGCTCCTCCAGAAGGGGTAACAGGCGTAAATGAGTAAGTAACTGACATTTATTATGTAATCGTTAGATTGCAGCCTATTCAGTTCAACAAAATCCCATTATTATGCAATGTGTAGGAAACGTTTATACAAATGAAAGATTTAAGATCGGAATGTTTCCTGTTTCAGAAGTGGTTTTGTGAAAATCTAAGTAATTTTATAGTTAAATCCATGAGTCAATTTAAGCTAGACTACCATGGAAGACCTGGAAGTACTGGATGGCCATTTCGTCCTACTATGGGACTCCTCGACAGTGTGTATCCACGAGTCCTAGGTTCGAGTTTAGTGGTGTTAATGTCTAACTTCAACCAATCTCCGAAATTGAGTGACACATCCACTACTGTCTTTAATGAGTTACTTTCTCACAACAGACCCGGTTGAACTCTATTAGTCACTGATTCTGGGTTCTAATCTCGCGAGTCAGTATCATGGATGCGCACTGCTGAGGAGTCTCATACTACGACGATAGGGATGTTCAGTACTTCCAGATCTTTCATGATGATCTAGCTTCAATTGACTCTTGATCTCAACGATTAAAGTAATTATTAAATATTTATCCTTTTATAATGTTTTCTGCACAATTTAGTTTTATGAAACACCAACAAGAATGTATATATTTTCAACGATTGCTGCAATTATCTTAGTTCTAACAGCTTTAGATTTAAACATTAAAATATGGCAATTAATAACTCAGGTAAATTCTATTTTTTATTTCTTTCCCACTATACAACCTTAGGTTATCATATAGTTACATTTATTATATCGCATTACTTTGAAAACAGTTTCAATAACGAGTTGATTAGTAAACACCAGTCTCTCTTATTAGAATATGTGTATTTTATACGGATTGCCTCAATATTATTTTAATTCACAAGCATCGTAAGCAAAGAGCATCAACTCTGGGATGCAGGCACATTCATCTGACGAGTCACAACTGAGACGAAACTCATGTCCTGGAATCCACTGCTGGCAACCATCTACTTTTGCTTATAAGGTATAAAGTAGCTTTAATCTTATGGTTTAAGGTAAGACGAAGAGTGTATAAACCGCCGTTGTGATCGATTCTGATCCATGTCACACAGAGTCTCCAACCATTGGTTACGATAGTCATGCGGACCTCAACCAAGTAGTATGCATCTACCAACATGGCTCAGACTAGTAGCTAGTGACTTCGATCACTGATGCCACGTTTTGGTTTGGCTACCCCTAACTTTCTTCCATCCGTCAACATTGCGCTTCGTGGTAATCGGTGTTCAGGCATATGTAACACATGGCCCGACCATCTCAGTCGATGAAGATTTACAATTTCATCAACTGATTTACCATTATTCCCTAATACCCTGCGTCTAACCTCACTATTACATATCCGATGATCCCAGCAGATGCGAGGAATATTTCTAAGACATCTGATTATTTTCTACTCTTGATGGACACGTTTCGCAGCCGTAAGTAAAGTAGAACAGAACGAACTGTTGCTCAGTATACTCGTCCCTTAATGGATAGACGGATATCTCGCCTTCGACATAGGTGACGTTGGGTGGCAAAAGCCAAACCAGCTTTTTCAATCCGTGCAATGACTTCGCCAGACACCAACCCATAACGGTTGGTCAGGGTTAATTGTTTTCATCATGAACGAACATCAACTATGATACGAAGCTTTATCATCCTTCTGTTTACATACTTGAGATTTAGAACAAGTGTTAGAGTGGAAGAACACCGTCTAGCATCATTAAGCTCTATTGACTACGCATTGAATCCTATCACATACTAGAATACACAATCTGACTTGGGAGCACATGAGTTGACGGTAATAATTAAGTTATGTCTCATTGCACTTCAAATTTCGCTCAAATTACATGAAGCATCATCTTATTTCTGATTGGTTAACTCAAGGTCGTCAATATACTATACTTTAACCATAATTTTCCCACAAGTGAATATGAGACAAATGAATACTGATTATTTTGTTAATAATCAATCAATCACTATAAAAGTCATATGCAATACAATTAATAGACATTAGTAAGGTTGTTTTCTATAGGATGAGGTTGCTAATCTCTTGCCCAACCCTCCAACTTTACCCAAACTTGACAGTGGCCAGTAACTCTAAAAGACCTACCAGACAGAGTTTACTAAAAGTGATTATACAAACATTCCATGTACCTAAATTATTAGTTGTTCTAGTTGTCAGAAAGGTCATCAACCTCGTGACTTCAAAGGGAACTTGGCTTTCATTATGCAGCGTCATAATTCTTCTAAATGAATGCCTTCTAACTCTCAGAGCAAAGTTTAAATGGTTTGAATGATTTTTTTTCTTTGGTTAACGACCTTTTTAGGCGAGTTTGGTAGTCGCTCACCTCACGCATAACCCTCCTTCTTTATCCAAGCTTGTGATTGACAGTAGCTCCACGTGGAGGGTGGGACATTCCAGACGGAATTACTAGAACTGATCATTTAGTAAATTTTCTAATTTATTTCATATTCATTTAATAAAACCTATAAATCATTCATAAAATCAATCGGCGAGACTTTAATCTGTGGATGACCTCTGAACGACCCTTAAGTGGCCTTGAGAAATACTAGACAATCAGCAACAGTCAGTATGGAGTAAAAAGATGTTATACAGAATCAAGGAAATAAAGTGAATACACTTCTTAGACGTGGTTCAAAAACTTGTCAAGGTTAGAAAGAGGTTCAGTGGTCCTAAAATCGTAGTGTATGCAGTAGAGGAAATCATGCATACGGAGCCATGATGAAGTCTCAAATACTCTTTCAGACTCGACCACATAGCTTCAATATTGTTTGTGTGCACTCCGGTTGTTGAGTGCACAAAATGCTACTTGTGGATAATGACACGGTGCACATAACCAAGCCCATGTAGGAGTCTGTACGCTCTCCGAACATCCGTATACACTGTAGTACCCCGCTGCAGCCAGTGTTAGTGGTGCTTTTAGTATCCAATTCGCAATAGTTGTCATAATGTGCCTTAGTTAGGAATTATATATGGGGATTTTCATCACGAACTGACATCAGATATAATCCCAGAGATTTATTTAGCCGAATGGATGAAAGACTTTCGCGTTAAAATCCGAGATCTATTATCTTATACCTGATTGATTCGTCCATAAACTATAGTCCCACCGTTTTATTTGTTATAGCCGCTCAATTATCACGTTTTGTACAAAATTCCTTGTGAACCGATCGTACGTTAGTTAGCATTAAGCACTGAAGTTAACGCCGTAACCTTGAAATCTCTAAAACGCCTCTGATTGGCTCGTTCATAAATTAGAGTCTCGCCAATCAATCAATCAATCAATCAATCAATCATTTATTCAATTACTAATTAATATTTGAATCGATAAATTTTTTTTTCTATTTTTTTTCATTCCTTTTCTTTTTCTCTGTTTTTTGTATTTTTCTTTTCTTTTTTTTTTTTTAAATATAGAAATATGAATATTTTAGAGATTGGAATAATTATTTAGAATTTTTATTAAATGCATTAGCAATGACTTATTCAGCATTAACAATAAAGAATCATTTAAATCATCATTATATTGAATTAGGTGTAGTTGTAATGTTTTTGGCATGGTTTAATTTTCTATTACAAATGATGAGGTAAATCAATTTATTAAATGATAATTTTATTTTCTTTTATATTTCAAGTTTATTCATGTAAAGTATTCTAATTAGAAATGGAGCCCCCAAATGCCCTGGTACGGCCGCGAGAGTGGAGAGAGTCCACTCTCCCACTCGAAATGCTCTCACATGACCACGCGTCTATAGCCTATGCCAGAGAAGTCCTACTCATTGCCTTTTCATAGCAGGGGTATTGTTTACGAAATAGAGTGGACGAAAAGCAAATGTCCGGCGCTTTAACCTAGTTGGTGGACACAGAGAATCCACCTAGGGGAGATGGAAAACCCTCATTCCAAACCAATGTTGCACATGGGTTCCAGTATCCTAAAGGGACAAATAGGACATGAACTTCTAGTTGGTCACCGGCTCTCATGTGACTGCATCTCCTGACGTGGATCCATTACCTTGTGGATCAGACTATAGCGACTCACGTGCAAATGAGTTTATTCTCATTTAACTCAATTAAGCCCTTTTGCTAACTTATTTAGCGGACAAAGTCATCCGCACTATAACAATTTATTGTACCCTTATTATTTTGTGCTTGTATGAAATACGTATGCTTGAATATTGCTTACGGCCTGCGCATTTATTCACTCTGCTAGTCTTACTACTAACTGATTATTTGATTCGATTACTCATTCATTTCACATGCTATATATATGTCCATGTTATTCATACTCACTCACTCTCACACACTTTCGTCTCGCTCTTGCTATGGCTCTCGCTCACTTGCTTGCCTTTCGGCACAACTCTTCTATGCTTGTTTAACGCATCTGTACATTTGGATATATGTGTGTGGTCTCGCAATAAACGTAATCAACGCTTCGTATTTGCCTTCTGATTAATATACCGTTGGGGCGTTATATAGAACGGTTATCAAGACGAACTGTATACGAAGTTAAGGATTATATCGGATACCAACCACCACAAGACCTTCAGGTCGAAGGCTCCGGGTGTGGCCCCCTATCAAAATCACTTGCTTAGGTTGGGGCACCCGAGCTGTATCACAGCCCTCACACATATCAAATGAGATTTGTGTGGCGCATATATAGTTGGTGCCTCCTTGTACCAATATCTATGTGTTAAAATAAAATAAAAAATAAATTAGAAATGGAAGATTCACTCTCTTAAGTTTTACTAAGAAGCCTCAGGTTAGATCTACACTAGAACTTGAATATGAGTGAGTGATTGAGTGAGTGAGAGGAGATGTGAAATATGAAAGAAATGATTTACTTCAAAGGTTCGTTTATGTACCAAAAAATGAAGGTTTAGACTAAACTATAATTTATGAATGAGTCAATTAGAAACATTTGAGAGATTTCAAAGTCACGGTGCCCATTCCAGTACTTGATGCTTATATATAATCGGTCCATAAAGGATTTTAAAGAAAATGTGATAACTAATCAGTTAAAACATAAGAGATTCCTAAGAAGTTTCATTTATTTGTGATTATGGTAGTCAAATGACTTGTGAACCTTTGTGTAGACTACCGTGATGATATTGTCTTTCGATGTGATATATATTAGAGGAAAAAGTTTGTTAGAATAGGAACTTTTTTCACTCGATCCAGATTAAGACTAAGACAAACTGGATAATAAAAGCACCAATAACACTGGCCGCAGAAAGGTACTACAATATATAATGATAATTGGAGGTCGTACAAATGCCTACATAGACTTGGTTATGTGCATCATGTCATTATCCACAAGTAGCATTTTGTGTACTCAACAGCCGAAGTACACATAAACAATATTAAAGCTGTATGGTCGAGTCTGAAAGAGTTTTTGAGACTATATGATGGCTCCAGAGGTGGACTATTCTGTAGCCGTATGGATGATTTCCTCTACTTCATGCATTACGATTTTAGAACCACTGAACCTCTTTCTAACCTTGACAAGTTTTTGAACCACGTCTAAGAAGTGTATTCACTTTATTTCCTTGATTCGGTATAATATATTTTTACTCTATACTGACTGTTTTCTGATTGGCTAATATTTCTCAAGGCCACTTAAGGGTCGTTCAGAGGTCAGTCATAAATTATGGTCTCCCCCGAGTTTTTTTTAGCATTTTAGATGGCCCTGGGCTTCCGAAAAATTCAGGAATGCTACTAAACATAATATCAGTATAAGCCATCATTCAATCGGAATTGTGACAGATAATTTTTCACTTTCTAGATGTTTCTTGAACGCTGATTGGATACGATGCTTCTCAGAGGTTTTAAAGCCCTTGGGGGGGAGACTTTTTTTCGAGAAATTTTCTGAATCTTCCCAATAGTTTCTATTTAGATCATTATCAGTAGGTGGTTCAATGATCTTATTGTTGACAATATTTATTGAATCTTTCTCAACTTTTGTTGTCATATGTCCATACAGTTCAAATGGTATCGCTTATAGACATTTTGTATCGAATTTTATAAAATAGAAGGATTGGAGAGTATTAATGAAATCCAGTATGGACTTTTTGTTAGATATACTTCTATCTGAGTAATGATGTTCATCTAAAAACTTCAAATCCAGTATCAATCGGTTCAACTTCGATTAATTCATTCCTTGAATTATTTAACACAAACCTCGGAAATATGTAACCATTTACAAATCAAATTCAAATCCCGCGAGTGGGATCGTCAATGTGCACTGTTGAGGAGTCCTACAATAGGACGACACACTCGTCCAGTGCTTCCAAGTTTTTCAATGGTGGTCTAACATCAATCGGTTCATGATCTCAATTAAAAACTTAGTAATCTCCATAACTCCTTTACTAATAATTACCGTGTGCTCACTAGTGAGGGGATTCTCTGAATTTTAGTGAGAAGCCGTGACCAGTGAAGCTAATCCGCGTTGGGTAGAAACAGGTATCTACCTTAGCACAATGGATGATGGTCGCACAATTTTGTGGATTGGTTGACGTTAGACATTAGCACCATCTAATGCCGGCCGGCTCAGCGGTCTAAAGGTTAAGCGTTCGCGCGCGTGACCGAAGGTCCTGGGTTTAAATCTCGCGAACAGGATGATAGATGCGCACTGCCGAGGAGTCCCACACTAGGACAAAACAGCCGAATAGTGCTTCCAGGCTTTTCATGGTATTCTACCTTTAATTGACCCATGAATTCAACTATTAAATTAGAATGAATTTATTTGCAACTTAATAGCTACCCTGAAATCTATGCTTCCCTGTTATTTTATGTATTTTGCTCAGATTTAAACATGTTGGAATATTTGTTGTCATGTTTTTGCATGTATTTGCAACTGTTGGAAAGTGTTTAGTTGTATTCTCTGTGGTGTTTATTGCATTCGCACTGTCATTTCATGTTTTGTTTCGAGCTCCCAGTTATTCAGTAAGTTTACTTCTTAAACTATAAACACTTTAGTTCATGATGTACATCGTGTCTTTGAATATTCTGATAATGTGTTGTATCTTGTGGCTTGTTAACTGTATAGCGATATGATCGCCAATTGGAGAACAGTAATTCATCGACCGGATCAATGACACATAAACTTGTACGAGCAGTCTAGAGTCCTTGATATAGTAGCTTATCTTCTAACCTAGCCGATACAGTTCCGAAAGCCAATCTCAGTCTCCGTTATATTGAATCAGATATTTTAAACTTGTTATACCCTTAGCATATACGATTATCGTAAAATACAACTGCCAATTTAGATAAGCTCAATTATACGACCAAACTAATGACGTATACACCTGTACGAACAATCTAGTGTTCCCAACTCCAGTCTCAGTCACCGGTATGTCGAGTCATATATTTCAAACATACTTAGTTTATATACAAGCAAAACCGGATCACATCACACCATAAATAGAAGATTATATTTGTACAAGATCAAGCCGAAAAGTGGGTTTGATTATGAGAGATTGTAGCTAATAGATTGAGAATAACTTGAGAATAGTAGATTATATAATGGTAGTTAATAGGTCAGATAGAAGCTTATAATGAAAGGAATATGAATATAAATGGTTTATAAACAAAGGTGGATAGAGGCCAATAGTGGAATCCAGTTTGACGCGCGTTTCATCCTACTTGGAACGCGTTAGTTGAATGTACCTGCATCCCAGAGTTGATATTCCCTCTGGGACTCAAACCCACCACTCCTAGTTTCAAACCCCATCGCGTTATTCACTCATCTACTGAGTCCTGATGGCCACTTGCTTGTGTAATGTGGTAAAGTTCAAATTCACTTAATATCGTTTCACATAAATCTTCCCATTGATGTTTAGTACTACAATAGATCAGTCTCTTATTGACATATGTGCCTACTGTACGGATTTCCTCGATACTGTCTTAAGTTACAAGTATAATAAGCAAAGATGGATAGTGACTAGCAATGGAATCCAGGAGTGAAATTGCAGTCCTAAACATCAATGAGAAGATTCAAGTAAAAACAGTACCAAGTGAATACATAGTTTAGTTACCTTCCATTAATCTATTAAGCTTATAATGAATGGAATATGAATATACATATAATAGAGTCACCTAATAGTTATACAATAAGAACATACGTATCATATTAGTCTATAAGTACTTCCTAACGGTTCCTATTCACCTATTCTTCCTTCAGATATAACATAAAGGTATTATGTAGACTAGTTGAATTTGCATATGTGAATAGTTTTTCTTCTAGACATATTCATAATATGACAAACTTCTGATGCATAAAAAGATGATCCTCAGTAAGTTTAACAGTCAATATCTGTTCATTCACTATTAGAATTATCTATTATACCACTTGATATTGGATTAAGTCAATCGATTCATCATTGAATAATAAGTAACTTATACTACTTGATCAATTTGTATTACACTACTTTTCAGAAGTGCACATCCACATCCACATCACCTCGCGGGATTATTACCCAGAACATATGCTTCACCTCTAAAAGTTGTGACCAGTGAAGTTCAACCAGGTCTATTATGAGATAGTAACTCATTGAAGACAATGTTCAACGATGGTGTAATATCGTGGAAGTTGATTGAAGTTAGACATGAACACCGTCTAGATGTTAAGCGTTCATGTGACATATTAATAAGTCCTAGGTTCGAATCCTACTGGATGGAATTGTAAAATGCATACAACTGAATAAATTCCACAATAAGATAAAATGGTCATCCAATACTTCCAAGTTTTCAATGATAGTCTAGTTCATAATTGACTTATGATCTCAACACCCCCCTCCCCCTTCTCCCAACTCTCTAATTATAATTGAATATTGATTTTATATTCTATTTATTGAACATGTAATTCATCTTCCAAATTATTGATTTTTAGGACACAATAACATCATCCTCATCATCATCATCATTGAATCAATCAATAATCGATTATTGTTTTCCAATAATTCATGATAATGATTTTAATAATAATAATAATAATAATAAAACAAATTTATCAATATCATTAGAATTGAAACCATTTCAATATTTAAGTTTATCATTATTTAAAACATTAATGATGATGTTAGGTGAATATGAGCATACAGCAACTATTATAGAACCATATATAGGAAATCATTCATTTCAATTACATTATCCATTGATAACATTCTTTTTCTATACAACATTTATATTTCTTGTACCAATTATATTAATGAATTTATTAGTAAGTTCATATATATCTATATCGATGATCTTTGATAACCATATTATGAATCTATAGTTGAATTGTATAAGAATTGCTGAAGAATTCAAATGTTAGATGATGGTTGGAGGTAATCGACAGGAAATCCTGGACTCGGGTTTTGTGCTACTGCTTCAGGGAACTAGTGCTGCCTGACGGATTTGATCCTGTGTCACTCAGCTTCACTAATAAGGACTAGACACGCATGACATTGATCACCACCCAGTGATCAATCAATTAAAAATTGAAATGTAAAACTGTTGGTAAATACTTTGGTACGATTGAGGATGAGATGAGTCAACTCTCTTACTCACCAAATACTTGCATATCAACACGTACATACAATCATTATCAGGGAAGTTCTACATACTGTCTTCTCGTCACAAGGGTGTTGTTTAAGAAAGTGAAAGGATGAAATGTGAATGTCTGTCGCTTTGACCGGGTTGGTGGACACGAAGGATTCACCTAAAGGGAAGTTGGGTAACCCTGATTCTAAATCAATGGTGTATATGGGTTCCAGGATCCTGAGCGAACAAATGGTGTATTAACCTATTGTTGGTCACCGGCTACAATGGAACTGCCTTATGGATCAGATCTTTAGGTCAAAAGCTCCTAGTATGGCACTCTAAGAAAACCACCTGCTTCGGTTTGGGTTTACTTACTTACTTACTTACACCTGTTACTCCAAATGCAGTATAGGCCACCGACCAGCATTCTCCAACACACTCTATCCTGGGCCTTCTTTTCTAGTTCCATCCAATTGTTGTTCATTCTTGTCATGTCTTTCTCCATTTCTCGGTGTCATGTGTTCTTTGGTATTCCTCTCCTCCTTTGACCTTGGGGATTCCAAGTGAGGGCTTACGTTGTGACGCAGTTGGGTGCTTTCCTCAATGTGTGTCCTATCCACTTCCAGCGCTTCTTCTTGATTTCTTCCTCCACTGCGATCTGGTTTGTTCTCTCCAACAGTAGGTTATTGCTAATAGTGTCCAGCCAACGGATCTGAAGTATTTTGCGCGGAGAATAGTTAATAAATACCTGTATCATCTAAATGATGGCTTTTGTAGTTCTCCAGGTTTCCGCCTCATACAGTTGAACTGCCTTGACATTTGTATTGAAAATCCTGACCTTGATGTTGGTTGACAGTTACTTTGAGTTCCAGATGTCCCTCAATTGTAAATCTGCTGCTCTTGCTTTACCGATCCGCGCTTTCACATCTGCATCAGATCCACCTTATTCATCAATGATGCTGCCCAAATATGTAAAGGTTTTAACATCTTCCAAATCTTCTCCGTCAATTGTGACTGGATTGGTACATGCCGTGTTGTATCGGAGAATCTTGCTTTCCCTTTATGTATATTGAAACCTACTGCTTTTGAGGCTGCTGCTGCTACCCTGGTCGTCTTCTCCTTGGATTTGTTGTTGCGTTTACCATAGAAGTGTCAGATCATCTTCAAAGTCTAGATCGTCCTAGGCAATATCCTATCCCTCACATAACTTGAATTCCAATCAAAATATCAATAATGCGATGATCCAGATCATTGAAAATCACATTTAACCTCGATATATCTGCTAAGATTGACTATAGAAACTCATATTCTCAATAAGATTCAATGATATGCATATGCTATATATGATATTCTATTATATTAACCAATGGATCATATTGTTTATTCTTAAGATTGGTTTAGCTGTTGGTGATATTGAAAATGTTCGAAGAAGTGCTGTACAACATTTAATTTCTCAACAAGTTTATTGGTTAGCTGATTTAGAACCAAAATTAACTGGAATATTTCGTTCTAAATTATATAAATCAAATTGGATGAAAAAAACTAAATTAAATAAGACTACAGTAAGTAAAAAGAAGGAGGTTGTGTTTTCATTTTGATGGTTATTAGTAGTAGTTGAAAGCCCTCAAATGCCCTGGTATGGCCGAGAGTAGGGTGGGCCCGCCCTCCCTCTCGAAATGCTCTCACATGGCCACGCGTTTATAGCCTCTGCCAGGGAAGTCCTACTCACTGCCTTCTCGTGGCGTTGCTGTTGTTTACAAAAATGAGAGGACGACAAGCGAATATCCGGCGATTTAACTGGATTCCAAACCAATGGTGCACATGGGTTCCAGTGTCCTGCGGGAACAAATGGCGTATGAACCAATTATTTGTCACCGGCTACCATGGGACTGCATCTCCTCACGATGCTCCACTGCCTTGTGGATCAGACCTTTAGGTCAAAGGCTCGGGGTGTGGCCTCCTAAGATAACCACCTGCTTCGGTCTGGGCACCCGGGCAGTATCACAGCCCACACACACAAATATGGTGTGGCGCATATATATTTGGTGCCCTCTTGTACCAATATTTATGTGTTGAAATAATAATAATAAAGTTTAACTCGTGAATCGATTGATGTTAGACTATCATTGAAAATCTAGAAGTACTGGATGGCTGTTTTGGTCTTACTGTGGGACTCTTCAACATTGCGCATTCATGATCTTGACTCATGAGATTCGAACCCAGGACCTATTGATTAATGTTTACATCTTTTTGTGATCTATTTTGATGAGTTCACAAGATTCTATTCAATGATTTATCGAAAGAATCTATATGGAACTTCATTCAATTATTAACCATCACAAAATAACACTAAATTATTCAATAATAAAAGATTTTTTCTTTTATGCGTACGAATTGAATACTGTCAGAAGGGGATTTTGTGGAGATTGTAGTAGTTTAATAGTTGAATTGATGACTCAATTAAAGCTAGACCGCTATGGAAAACCTAGAATCACTGAGTGGTTATTTCGTCTTAGTATACGACTCCTCGGCAGTACATATTCACAACCTCGCTCGTGGGATTCGTACCTAGGACCGATAGGTTTTGAGTTCATATCGCATGAGTTTAACTATTGAACTAAACATGCTTATATTTATAGACCAACAAAATATTCATTCCTTTTGATAGACACGTATAACTAACCTTTTTCTTAATACTTCTACTAGTTCACTATTTCTTTAAGTAGATAAATGGTACAGCACAAATTACGTAACACCCAGAAACGGAGAGCACATGTTAGTCAGGGAGGGATTTTGTACAGATTTTAGTAATTTAATAGTTTAATTGATCAATCAATTGAACCTAGACCACCATGGAAAACCTGGAAGCACTGAACGACTGTGTCGTCCTAGTATGGGACTCTTCAACAGTACGTATCCACGATCCCTCTTACGAGATCCAAACCCAGGACCTTCGGTTTCGTGCGCGAACTTTTAACATCTAGACCACTTAACTGGCTGGCATTCAACAGTGTTAATGTCTAACCTCAACCAATCCACAAAATTGTGCGACTATCTTCCATTGTACTGAGGTAGATACCTGTTTCTACTCGACATGGATTAGCTCCACTGATCATGTCTTCTCACTAGTACTCCAAGAATTCCTTCACGAAACTAGTCACGCATGTACACATAGTAACTATCAGTATGGGGTTGTGAGGATTTTTTTAAAAATGAAACTATTTGTTTTCATTTTTTTGATAGGGTTTCTTAGATAAATCTGGATTCGAAACGACATATGAAGAAAATCTAATACAAAAGTATCTTAAAGAAGCAGTTAAAAAGTGAGCAAAACAATGATCCTTTACAGCTTTATTTGACACCAGTGTTCATTTGGAATCCATTAATAAACTGCTCTCTATGCATAACTATGGGATTCAATCAGTTGTGGGAATTTTTTTTAATGATAGTGACGATCTTCCTAGGTACACTGTAATATCGAAAAAGATTCCATAAGGTTTTTTATTCACTCTGTTGAATACTGTCCAATAATCAAGCAAGTTGATGTATTGTGACGAGTTTCATTCAGTTTCTTGTTCAACAATGGTAGTTTATGTCGTAGTTTGGAGAGGATAAGGTTTATCTTCAATGCTTCAGCTGATATGGTGTCTGATCCAAATGGATCAATATTTTTTGTCTGTTGGTCTTGCTAATTTCCTCTATTGTCGGTAAGGTACCATCTGTGGGCTAATATATACTCTTGTTTATTCAAGAGTTCTTTAAAGCTCTTTAACCACCAGTTCTTCTACTCTTGGATCTCGGTGACTGATTCCTTTTATTTGATCCTGACTGGTTACCCTGACCTATTACATTTCCCTGTTGGCTTCTTGGTTGTATAATACAGTTCCTTAACATTCCCTTCTCTTATGGAGTGTTCTGCTATAGTTGCCAAATTGACATATTTATGCTGATCGTCTCCGATGATCCTTCCCATTCGGTAATTTTATTCTGTATATTCGGTCTGTAGGTTGACCGTCTCTTCTCTTATTCGGCTGTTGTTAACTGCTGTCTTGTTTTCTTTTTCTTTTTTTGAATCTTGAACAGAATGTCGACAGAAACCCATTCTTTATGTTGGTGTTTCTTTGGACCCAGTTCTTCTTGATACGCAGAAATGTTTACTTCGTTAATCTACTTCCATTTGTTCTTCATAGCGATTTCCTCCTCTTCTAGTAGGTTCTGAATGACTTGAAACTTGTTGGTGAAAACTATCTTGAGCTCTCTGAGGTTGTTATTATCTAAGAGATAGGTTACATTAAACTTTTTTAGTGCTGCTTGTCCAAATATCCAATCCTTTCTTAGCTTAAATTTTACCGTATCGACCATCAATAGATAATGAAGCTATATCTCCTCTCTTCGTTTTTCGTTACGTTCCTCATGAACCTTTTGGGTTTGTTATTTCGGTACATGCGGTTACCCTAGTTTTCCATGGTGTCTTGTGAAACTCGCTTATCCATGACTATGTTAAAGAAAGTAGATAGATATTATGCTAGTCTCACATCATACTCGTTTCCTACTCCGAGTCATTGTTAAACCAGGATTTTGTTATCATCTTTGCAGCTATCCATGGTTGGTGAGTAGCACTGGGTGACGTTCATTATAATCCTATCATTTCTTGTTTTGAACTGATAACCCATACAATAAGCACTTCTCGTTCTTCTTTGGATAGCATCAGTGAAATTCCTTGTGTATGTAAGGGATTATATTCTTTGTGATGATAATACAATAACATCTATCTTGAAGTTGTTCTTTTCTATCCAGATTGTGTCTAATGAGTTTCGTTCAATCCATTGAGCCAGATTGTATTTTCTTATCTCTACTGCAATTACAGTGACCGTCCCGGTCAGCTATGTTATCGTGACATTCTATGTATCTATATTAATTGGTTCTCTAGTTATCAGAAGGAGGGTTGGTTTCGTGACACGAATCATCTAGACTTTCATCATAAGGCGTTATAACTGTTCTATGTAGGAACCCTTCAAATAGTAGGCGACAGTTTAAATGGCTTAATTAATGTGCACAAGTTAGCGTGTTTTAGCCAGGTTCTTCTTTACGAGGTTGGATTGCTAACCATAAACTCAGTCCTTCTACTTAGGACCAGATGTAACTGTAGATGGACTCCGGGAGGCATTATTATACTTACAATAAAATGCCTTTACAATATTCGGTCAAATTAACCGTACTAAGAAATCTGATACTAGTATGGGGGTTGTGGAGATTATTAAGTTTTTGATTGAGATCATCAACCGATTGATGTTAGACCGGCACCTTTGGAAACCTGGAAGCATTGGACGGCCGTTTCGTCCTATTGTGGGACTCCTCAGCAGTGCGCATCCACGATCCCGCTCGCGGGATTCGAACCCAGGGACTTCGGTCTCAACGCGCGAACGCTTAACCTACTGGACCACTGAGCCGGCATCCAATGGTGATAGTATCTAACATCAACCAATCCACGAAATTGTGCGACCAACTTCCACTTTACTGAGGTAGATACCTGTCTCTACCCGACATGGATTAGCTCCACTGATCACGTCTTCTCACTAGAACTCCAAGAATTCTCTCACGAAGCTAGTCGTTAGTGATCCCGCAAGCGGGATCGTGGATGCGCACTGCTGAGGAGTCCCACAATAGGACGAAACGGCCGTCCAATGCTTCCAGGTCTCCAAAGGTGCCGGTCTAACATCAATCGGTTCATGATCTCAATCAAAAATCTGATACTAATAATCTTATTGTTTATGTGCTTGAATCACTTCTAATTGTATTTCTGATTAATTCAACATCACATGCAAGGTGTAAATGGTTGTTTGCAATAGAAATTTCAAATATAGCTCTTAACAATCTTTATAAGAACTCCACCTGGGACCACTCTGGGGTTACTGTCGGTCTCAAGCTCGGATATAGGAGGAGGATGTTGGGGACGTTAGATCCCCAGAAATCACTTAGCAAAGGTCCTAGTTTTTTAATTTTATTTTGAAACTTTGAATTTCTTTGTTTTCGCGCCAAAAGCGCTCTTGTCACCTTCATGTCGCATTCTCCACTTGGGAGAATCTTAAATGCTATTGGTCCGTTGTGTCTATTAGTATTCTATTTAGTAACGCTTCCCAAGGACGGTTTTGTGCTGCATAGATATGTTTTGATTTGTGTTTGTTGTTATCGCTCATGCTTCTGGCCGTTTGCGGAATACACTTCCTCATTCCAAGCAGATTATATTTCCCCGTTCGAACTTGGACTTCTCTCTCTAGCTAGCGGGGCTAGGATGCATCAAACGGCTAGCTTATTGGTTTTCGGTCACCGATTCTTTGTTCCGTTCGCAGTCTGAGTGAACTCATAACCGCTTGAAACCTAGAAGAGGGTTCGGCATGAGTTTAGCGATTCCATCCTGTGGAAAACAAACTCGCTAAAAAACGCTAACCAGAAAAAATAATTCAAACCATTTAAAGTCTGCTTTGGAAGTTAGAAGGACATCATTCAGAAGTTTTTGATGCCTCATGATGGAAGCTGAGTTCCTTTGGAAGTCACAAGGTTGATGACCCTTCTGACATCTAGAGCAACCATTAATTTAGGTACATAGAATGCTCGTACAATGTGGATGACAAAGGGAGTCATCCAAATTGCTGAAGAAATAAAAAGATGCAACCTGAAGGTGTTTGGAATCAGTGGAAATCCTCATTATAAAAGTTATTTGATAGACATTTATCTTCTATTCAATATCATGCGTGGACATCTACTATTCTAAAGTCAATCAGATTTCTGATCATCTTTTCGTAAATCTATGGCATCTTACAATGAAATTAATAAAATGAATTAAGTGTTTTGCTGTTTAATTCCATGACCTACCCAAAATGAATCAAAGGAATTTGTTTAAGATGTGTAACTGGGAAAGAAACTGAAAGTGTTTTATCTCAGAAATAGTTTAATCCCGAAATTGTACCAGGAACGTAGTTCAAATTTAGCGAAATGACTTTAATATGAGAACTTTTACTTCTGAAGAATACTCGGTCTATAAGTTAATGAAATACTTCAATGGAAAAAAGCAAGGATAAGATCAGGGGACAGTTTTGATATATATATATATATATATATATATATATATATATATCAGAAATGAAGGATGAATTATGTTTGACGGTTAGAAAAGACAGTTGTGACCCAAAACGAAGTACTTTCTGCAACCTACAAAGCCCGTAAATAACTGTTAATGAATAGACTACTTTTTAGTTAATAAGTAGTATAAATTATTCATGTAAAATATCAGCAAAGAAGCGTTTCTCGACAAAATTATAAGATCTTTCTGAAATAATCATCATGTTTGCTGCTCAAAAATAAGTTTTGTCATCTTAATATAAGCAAACTCTGATTCCATTATATTTAATTACTATTAAAATACTTATATTTTCAGGCAACAAATACTTTATATAGAAGAGTTTATATAATAACGAAGAGGATGACATCAAATTGTCAAACTGATACGTGTAAAATATTCATCGATTGTTATCAGACAAGAAATCAGGTTTTTAATATTTGAGATCGTTCGTTTCCAAGTTGAAATGGTAATAAGCTACTAAATGCCCTGGTACGAGCAAGGGTGGGGAGAGTCAACTCTCCCACTCCAAATACTCTCACATGAACACGCGTATACAACCACTACCAGGGAACTCTTACTCACTGCCTTCTCGCGCCATTACTGTTCTTCACAAAATTGAGAGGATGGAAAGCAAATGGTCGTTGCTTTAACCGGGTTAGTGGACACGGAGAATCCATCTAAGGCAGTTATAAAACCCTCATTCCAAACCATTGATGTACATGGACTCCAGGATCCTGAAGTAACAAATGGCATATGAATCAATCGGTGGTCACCACCTACCATGGGACTGCATCTCTTGACATTGCTCCAATACTTTGTGGACCAGACCTTTAGGTTGAATTCTTAGGGAGTGACTCACTAAGAAATATTTGTATATTTCTTACAAGGCGTATAAGGAATAAATCGAACTGTGTCAAATAGACAAACAAATGAGGATTTTCCAGTAACTAACTAGTCTAATATAGAAATTTATGGCAAACATGCTTTTCCCCTTCAGTTATATGTATTATATATGTGAATTTCATTGATATGGACCCATCTTTATTTTTGCGACTATGAATAACTATTTGATCATATTCATCATAATAGACATTGTTGTTTCTATGTATAAAATTTCAGAATAACTTCTATTGACAAAGAAACTAAATTACAAACAACTAGAATGGCTGCAATCATTGAAAAGTTAGAAATTCGATCAAAAGAATTTAATATTGATGAAGGTGTCTATCCAAGAGTAAGTATATTCTACTGTTTCCTTGGTTCTTGTATGTATGTATGTATGTATGTATGTATGTATGTAGGTAGGTAGGTAGGTAGGTAGGTAAGTAGGTAGGCAGGTAGGTAGGTAGTTATATAATCATTCTGTATGAATTTCAATCAATAACTCAAGTGACAACCACTCATGAACTGTACAATTCAGTTTATTTACTTTTCATCCTTTAATCATCAAATTGAAGAGTCCCATAATAGGACGAAACTGCCGTCCAGTGCTTCCAAGTTTTCCATAGTAGTCTAGCTTCATGAATTCAACTATTAAACTATCAAATTGTTTAATATTTAGTATGACCCATTTCTTATAACATTTAAGTAGTCATGTCAACAGTAAACAACTAATGTTGTAGTGAACAAGAACATGTAATTGGGGACAATCGAATATATTTGAACACAAAAATTACAGATTTCCTTAGTCAAATATAAGAACTATACAGTGAATACTTCATTTGCAAAATGTTAATCAATCATCTCAGCCTTCATTGTTCTTTCGTTTCTACACCAATCAGTCTTTGTTCTCGTTCTCTTATTTTCTGGTCTTCTTAACCTTCTGCTCTTAGGAATTTCACTGTCGATTGATGATACACACTACTTATATCTTTCGATTTCAGTAGCACACATCACAAGTAATTTTGAACTAAGAAGTGACTAAGTTGAATATCATAAGTCGAGACTGTGAATGTGTTACAATGATTTTGGTCATTCCATTCCTATAGTTAGTTGACAACTTGTCTCTTCTCCTAAATCATTCTACAAGACTTAGTCTAAGGACTTTATTCAATCATCCAGTTCATTATACCTACGATAATCACTCTTATTTAGAATTACGACATTCAATTCTTTACATGATTCAGCGTATATTGAATCTCGATCAGATTTAGGTTGTCTAATAAGACAACAGTAAATCTTTAACGAGATTTAATGCATCACAATGTCAATAAACGTGTAATCTACATCGGATTGGTTTCAATAAACCATAGTCTAGTTACTCATACTTAGGTTATTTCTACGTCCTTAGCTTATACGATTATCGTAAAATACAATTGCCAATTTAGATAAGCTCAATTATACGACCAAACTAATGATGCATACACTTATACGAACAATCTAGTGTTCCCAACTCCAATCTCAGTCACCGGTATGTCGAGTCATATATTTCAAACAAACATAGTCTATATACAAGCAAAACCGGATCACATCACACCATAAATAGAAGATTATATTTGTACAAGATCGAGCCGAAAAGTGGGTTTGATTATGAGAGATTGTAGCTAATAGATTGAGAATAACTTGAGAATAGTAGATTATATAATGGTAGTTAATAGGTCAGATAGAAGCTTATAATGAAAGGAATATGAATATAAATGGTTTATAAACAAAGGTGGATAGAGGCCAATAGTGGAATCCAGTTTGACGCGCGTTTCATCCTACTTGGAACGCGTTAGTTGAATGTACCTGCATCCCAGAGTTGATATTCCCTCTGGGACTCAAACCCAGTACTCCTAGTTTCAAACCCCATCGCGTTATTCACTCATCTACTGAGTCCTGATGGCCACCTGCTTGTGTAATGTGGTAAAGTTCAAATTCACTTAATATCGTTTCACATAAATCTTCCCATTGATGTTTAGTACTACAATTGATCAGTCTCTTACTGACATACGTGTCTACTGTACGGATTTCCTCGATACTATCCTAAGTTACAAGTGTTATAAATTAACTATATGGATAATGTGATGACGTTTGAAGTAAACTGTTATTGGTTCGAGTCCTAGAGTGAACATCAACTTAGTGGTACAGGCACGTCCGGTTGACGAGTTTCAACTAGAACAAAACGCGAATTCTGAATTCTACTGTTAGCCCCTATCCATCTTAGCTTATAATGTACATAATTTGCTTAGAAAGTTAGTGACTGACTGATTAAATGGCTAGCAGTGCAATCCAGGACTGAAATTGCAGTCCTAAACATCAATGGGAAAATTCAAGTAAAACAATACCAAGTGAATACATGGTTTAGGTACCTTCCATTAATCCATAAGTACTTTCTAACGGTTACCATCCATCTATAACAATCATGATCTCAGATGTTTCACACTATTATTACAATAATCCTTTAAGGTCATCTAAGTCGAACAGTAGGATGATTATCATTGGTTAAATCTTTTGTGTTCAATCTTATACTGTTATTGAGCATAGAACAGAACACCTTATTTAAATATAGTAAGATCATCATTGTGTTATTGATGAATAAAACAAGTCAAGGAAGGAAATTAGTTCAATACAAAGGTGTTCAATACAAACAATCTAAAAGAAAAACACAATCTCAACTGGTGTCTTATCATGAATTTTTTATGAAAAAGAGGTTGTTTCTCCTTTACAAAACTACGAATCATCGGCTGACTGGTAAGGATAATATGAAGTTCTGCCAAATAGAACATTTTTCTCTGTTAGGTCCCAATAAACATAATGAATGATAACTTTTGGGATCTATTGATGGGCCAATACTAAACGTATATTTCTATTGTATGATTATTAAGTAACTTGACTTTGCATATTCATATTCCTCTTATTATAAACTTTATTTTGACCTATGAACTATTATTATACCACTTACCATTCTTGAATTATGCCCTGTCTATTAGTCACTGCCTCCCAAATTCACAGCCACATCTGACTAATTCTTGTACAAATGTTGTTCCCTATTATATGGTGTGATGTGATCTGTTTGATTGGTATATAACCCTAGTATATTTGAAATATAAGGATTCATATTGCAGAGGCTGAGACTGTTGTTCTGGACTTAACTGGCTGAGCTAGACAGGGAAGCAGGGCCAATGAGGAATCTAAACTGCTCGCACGTGTTTTACGCGTCCTTGGTCCGATCGATAAGTCACTGCTCTCTAATCGGCGGTCACAAGTTATAACATCCTCATAGATTTCTAGTATCTGTTTTCTTCAGTATCAACTTTATCATGAATGTTCATGAACAGAATCTTCTTTAGTGCCAAATTAATGTGAATCTATCACAGTTTATTTAGTCGTGTAGAGCATGTTATATGGACCATACAAAGTAAACTCTTTAGAAACACATTTTCAAATATCACCCCAGCTTACTCTCGAAAGGATTACAGAAGTCAGTCAACAACGTCTAGTTAATTCTAGCCACTCCGTTTCACCAGATGCCTCCTTTAAAATCATACATATAGTCAGAAAAGTTGGTTCAATGGAAAAATATGAATGAAAAAGTTATGTACAGAAGAGGTCAATGTTACTCACCAGTTCAAGTATAACCTCTGCATACAAAAAAAACAGTATGTTTAGTCTGTCATTCATTCCATAATCTTATTATCTCTACTCCTTTCTAATTGTTTTCAAAACTACTAAATAGCCATTATTACAACTTTTAATGATTCTATTCTTGATTGTTACTAAGGGGACAATTATCATCACTGTATAGTTCTTCATTAGACAATTATTACATAATCAGAAGGGCTTTGTGAAGATTTTAGAAATTTCATAGATTGAAATCATGAGTCAGTTGAAGCTAGACCACCATGGAAAACCTGGAAACACTGGACGGCCGTTTCGTCCTAGTATGGGTCTGCTCAGCAGTGCGCATTCACGACCCCGCACCCCGCAGGATTCGAACCCAAGACCTGGTTTCGCGCGCGAGCACTTAACCATCAGACCACTGGGTCTGTTGTGAGATATCAGCTCACTGAAGACAATGGTATAAAGTGGCGCAACTTCGTGGATTGGTTGAAGTTCGACATTAACACCGCCGGGTGCCGGCTCAGTGGCCTAGCAATTGTAGTGAACAAGAACACAAATGAGAACAATCGAATATGTTTGAACGCTAAATTACAAAATATCTCAGTAAAATCTGAGAACCAATTGTTTTAAACTTCACTGTTCCTTTTGTAAAATATTAGTTAATCGTCTCATACTTCATTGTTCTTGTATTTCTATATCCATTTCTTTCTATTCCCATTCTTTCCTCTTTCATCTTCTTAACCTTCTGCTATTAGATATTCTATTCCGGATTAATGTTATATACTACTGATGTCAATCATAAGTAGCACACACAGTATAATATAACAGTTAAATCTTTATTTATCAATAATGATTGATGTTTAGAGTCTTGTCTTACTTGAAATGGACCATTCAATTAATTGTTAATCATAAAGTCTATTCAAATTTTATTGTTTAGTTCTATATTTCTATTTTCAATTCTAATAGGGGGTTTCTGGTTTAGATCGAATTATGGAAATGGATTATGCAATTCATTGATGAGTAAAAACAAAAGGATGGGACGAAATGAAGATGAACAAAACAAAAAAGAAATTCGTTCTGATTTCAACATTTGAAAGTTCCTATTGTCTTTTACATTTGAAATGAACAATTTCATTAAATGAATATTTTACTTGTCTTAAACTAATTTACATTGTCATTAGAGGATAATGTTAAACCTTCACTGATATCAGGAATCTATCTGATAAGTCTTGCGAATTGAACGTTATATTCGTCTCCTAAACTATTCTGTAACCCCAAAGCTAGAACTATACAGCGACCTGAACATAAAAGAGAAGACACAAAGTATGCGAGAAAATACTTTACTCCAAATTTCACAGATTGAAATCATGAGTCAGTTGAAGCTAGACCACCATTGAAAACCTGGAAGCACTGGACGGCCGTTTCGTCCTAGTGTAAGACTCCTCAGCAGTGCGCATCCACGATCCCGCACCACGCGGGGCTCGAACCCAGGACCTACTGGCTTCGCGCGCGAGCACTTAACCATTAGACCACTGAGCCGGCATCCAACGGTGTTAATGTCTAACTTCAACCAATCCACGAAGTTGCGCCACCGTACACCATTGTCTTCAGTGAGTTCCTATCTCACAACAGACCTGGTTGAACTCCACTGGTAACGGCTTCTCACTAGAACTTCGGGAGTTTTTCCTGAAGTCAGTCACTAGTGAGCAGTTGATTATTATTATCAGAATGGGTTTTGTGGAGATTTTTAGAAATTTCACAGATTGAAATCATGAGTCAGTTGAAGCTAGACCACCATTGAAAACCTGGAAGCACTGGACGGCCGTTTCGTCCTAGTATGTGACTCCTCCAAAGTTCACTTTTGTACAGAAAACATGGGTATTTATAGATGTTAACATTTGTTAAATCAGCATCATATTTTAGCCAATCCGCTAAATAACATATTATGCTACTGACCAATAGTAGCACGCCACGTTGACATTCTAGAAAGCTCCATCATACTCTGATTGGCTAGGACTATTCGGCTCCTCTAGGGCCTCTGTAGGCTCCGTTGCAGTTTTTGGAAAGCCGACTCAACACTATCCAAATTAGATTTAAGTTGTGAGCAAGACTAACTGTCGGGAGTTTCAATTCCTTGGTTGTGTAGGCTATGGTTGAATATTGTTTTTAAGAGTCTTATACAAGAACTAAACGATAATCTGATGCTTTGAGACTTTTAATAGTTGTCTAACTTAGATTGACTTGTGATTTCAATGAAGTTGTTATAACTTGTGGCCTATGTGCCCTGTTAATGGATAACGTAATGATAATACCGATTAGAGAACAGTGAATTATCGATCGGACAAGTACAAACAGTCTAGAGTCGTTATCGGTCCTGCCTAGCCCTGCTTGTTGAGCCTAGAACACCAATCTCAGCCTCTGAAACATTCATTTCAAGCACACTGGGTTTATATACCAACCAGACAGACCACATCACACCATATAATAGGGAACAACATTTGTACAAGAATTAGCCAAATATGACTGTGAATGTAGGAGGTAGTGATTAATAGACAAGGCATAACTCATGAATTGTAAATGGTATAATAATAGTTCATAGGTCAAAATAAAACACACAATGAGCGGGACACGGATATGAATAGTTTAGTTATTTAACAATTACACGTATAGAATTGGTTCATAAATGGATCCCAAAAGTTACCATTCACTATGCTTATCGGGATATAACAGAACTTTATAATTGTGATGGAGTTTTGCTCTCTGAGGTGGATGGTTTGGTCGTGGAGCTTTCATCGTTCTTCTGAACGACATCATCAATACTTCACTTCTATCTGCAGTTTGTGCTGACGATGTCGTTCAGAAGAACGACGAAAGCTCCACGACCAAACCATTCACCTCAGAGAACAAAACTCCATCAAAATCATCCACCTGAGCTACAAATCTTCTCCACCATCTCAGAAGGTTATAATGATTCAATGAAATTAAGTTGTTTTTTTACTGAAATTGAGCTTCCCTTTTATCAATGGTATACACTTTCATATCAACAGTAATGATGATTAGGTTATCATGTAAAGATTAAACAAGCTCAACGGATGAAACACTGGTTTTTCATTTCAATTTCAATCACTGAGATTATTTCAAAGCTCTAGCAACAATTAAAGTTTGTACATGTTCATAGTGATGATTGAAAATGAAACCAGTGAACAATTAGATTCGTTAACCCATAGGTTTATAACTTGTATTGTGACATGACTGAGGTTTCTTATTCATTCATTTAATCAGTCAGTCAATAACTCTGTAAGCAAATTATGTACATTATAAACTAAGATGGATAGTGGCTAACAGAAGAATTCAGAATTCGCATTTTGTTATATTTGAAACTCGTCAACCGGACGTGCCTGTACCACTAAGTTGATGTTCACTCTAGGACTCGAACCAATTAGCGTTTACTTCAAACGTCATGACGTTATCCACATAGTTAACTTATAACACTTGTAACTTAAGATAGTATCGAGGAAATCCGTACAGTAGGCACATATGCCAATAAGAGACTGATCAACTGCAGTACTAAATATCAATGGGAAGATTTATGTGAAACGATATTAAGTGAATTTGAACTTTACTACATTACACAAGCAAGTGACCATCAGGACTCAGTAGATGAGTGGATAACGCGATGGGGTTTGAAACTAGGAGTGGTGGGTTTGAGTCCGAGAGTGAACATCAACTCTGAGATGTGACAGGTGTATCCATCTGACGAGTTCCTAATAGGACGAAATGCGCGTCCTGCATTCCACTGCGACCCACTATTCATATTTGCATACAAAGTAATTGCCAGCTTTAAGAATTTGATGATTGTATCCATGGTCAGAATATACTACTTAATTGTTAGATGACTTAAGAATATATGTGTTTGATGATTAGAACAATGCTTGTATGTAATGTCATGTAATGTGATATCTTTAATTCTCGAACTAACATTCACTAATTTGGATGATTGCTTAACGGATCAAATCTATTTCTGAAGAAGTTGACAAGTCAAACTAGTACTTGAAGTCAAATAGAACTTTTGATGTCTCCTCTATAATATACAGTAGAACTTCAGAAAAGATCTAATATGATGTTGTAACTAGATGCTTGTAATTCGTTTCATATATAACCGAAGAATAATAACGAAGTAAAGTTGAATTGCGTGAAGTAAAGTTATTCATATAACACAACTGACTGAAATGTCAAATCATCAATGAGTGTTGTCGTCTTGAGAGGAGTGGAGTACGAAGATCCCTTATTCATATAGATGTATTGAAATGTTCCCCAAAATCAATACATCATTATTGGCATAACTACAAACAATCATACATAGTGATCAACATAAGGTTGGACGGGATTTTTCAATCAAATGAGCCACACGAATCACTTGGTTTATGTGTGTGGGCTGTGATACTGCTCAAAAGGCCAAACCGTAGTAGGTGGTTATATTAGGAGGCCACATCTGTAGCCTTTGACCTTAGAGTCTGATCCACAAGGTAGTGGAGTCACGTCAGGAGATTCAGTCCCATGCTAGCCGATGAGCACGAATATAGACTCATTCACCATTTGTTTGCTCAGGATCCTGAAGCCCATGCACATCATTTGTTTGGAATTAGGGTTTTCCTACCTCATTAAGTAGATTCACTGAATCCACTAACCTGGTTAAAGAGACGGACATTCACTTTTCATTCTCTCAATTTCATAAACGACACCCTTGCTGCGAGAAATCAGTGAGTAGGAGTTCCCTGGTAGTGGCTGTATACGCGTGGCCACGTGAGAGCATTTAGAGAGGGAGAGTAGACTCTCCACACCCTCGATCGTACCGGGGCATTTGCGGGCTTATCTGATTAGTAAGATACTACTGACTGTTGTTTGGTTTATTGCTTAGAACATAATACTTATCGAAGATGAAGGTGTTTAACGCAACTGTCGAATGACAATACCTATCTATTCAACTATTACAAGAATTGTCACTTGGAATCTACCTAGAGAACAAGACACTTCCTCACCGAAATCGATTAATCCAGTCTTCATTCTATGTACTTCTATTCTGGCCGACGTCACAACATCTCAGATATACTCAATAAATAGACAATATCGTTTAAACAAATCACCCTTCATTGTTCAACTCAAGAACAATCCTTTACATCTTTACAATTTAGAAGAAAACTTAATTCAGAAAGCAACACTTTATTGATTATATAAAGAAAAGAAAAGAAAAGGAAAGAAAAATGAACCATCAGTCAATAGCACAATTGTCATGGTAACATGAGTATCGGTTCACAGTAGACAATGATCATATCAACTTGATGAATTAATTTGTGTACAATTGAGATCATGAGAGAAAGCTGGTTTCCATGGACAACAAGTTCCATAAATGAAAATGATGTAAGAATATAAAAATGAAACAAAAATGAAATCACATTTAATAGTCCATAGTAACAAGTCACCATCATCATCATCATGAACATCATGATCGTGATCACATATAGAAGAATATGAATTCAATTTGACCAGATCAAGCACTCGAAATCAATTGATGAGGAGAATAGAAAGTACCGTTTGTGAAATGAAAATGATTAGAATATACCCATGAATATATATGGATTTATCGATTTATGTATGATGATAGAGATTGTGTTTACAAAGGTGATCATGATTCACACACACATACACACACACACTGTGTGGAATCAAATGATCTCACCTTATTATTGCACATTACGCCTTCAATAATGATAATAATAATAATAATGATAATAATAATAATAAGAATAGTGGAATAGATCAGTTAAGATTGTTCATCCATTAAATGATCCGATGATTGTTGGTATGAATCCCAAATCTTCAATTTGGATGAATCCCATTTCATTCTACATTCATTCCATCATAGAAGCCAACAGGTGTATTTCACCATACTGAACAACATCACATCGAGTGATGTTTTTATCACTCGACTTCCCTCATTTGGAATTGACCAAATGGATTGTTTAAATAATCTTTTACAATAATCAATAATCAATTACCTTGTAGAATATGAATGATTGGTCTATTCTTTCTTCTCTCTTTCATATATATTGCCTACAACATTGAATAG